CTAGCCCCTAAGAAGGCAACTCAGGCTGAGTTGAGGGCAGAAAAGCGCAGACGTGCAGCCCTAGAGAGGCAGTTCAACAGAACTATTCAACAGAAGGGAGTGCAACTGCAGCATGTTTCAGGTGATACCTGTGGGCACCAGCCAAGCCCTCCCAGGGGAGGAGAAGTTATCTATGAGCCTTTCCATCCTCCATCCTGGTCTCCTGAGGCTTTTGCAGTACAATGATCCTCAGGATCTAAGCAGATCTGGGCCTTATTTCCAACAGGCTTCTGGGCCCTATGCTCCTCCCCCTCCCTCCAGGCCTCGAACCTCTTCTCAATCTAGGCCTGAAGCCACCTTCACTCCCTCAGCAGCGGGCCTTCGGCCTTCTGCCCCTAACTTTGAGCATAGACCATGGGATATCCAATATGTTGTCTCTTTGACCACTAGGCAGGGATTGGCTGAAGGCTTCAAGCAAATCCTTCGACCTCGGGAAAGGGTTCAGGCGCTTCTCCCTTCTCAATCTATAAGTTGCCCCATCACCCTGATTTACACAGGTCCCAGGACCTCAGGGTCCATTCTTCTCTACCAGAATGGGAGGAGGTTGATGAGGAGGGAAGGGCTTCACCATCTGAACACAGTTACTCCTCTCGTTCAGAACGTGAAGAGGGCGAGACCTTTGACCAAAATCTTCAGAGGAAGATGACTCTCGCCCAGAGCAGACATCCTCTGCATTGGTCTTCAATCCTTCTCTCTTCAGGCCATTACTCAGCATGGCCTTGGTCACTGCCAAGCTGTCACCAGAGGAAGTAGCTCCCGAGCCACTAGGAATTCCCTCTAGCCAGGGAGACTCATTCTTCTCCAAGCCTGTAGTGCACACAGGGGTTTTGCCTTCTCCCACTTTGTTCCTGGACATGGTCAAGGAACAGTGCACTTCCCCTTCGGCAGGTCCTCGCCCATCTTCTCTGGATAAGCGTTTCTACAATGTCAGCGCAGCCCTGGACAATTCCCTGGCAGTGCCTTCTGTTGACATTCCAGTTCTGGCCTCATTCCGATTTTCTGGCACTCTCACGTGGGCATCCATACAGTGGCTGCAGCAACTCCAGATTAGATTGCCTACATCTGACCTTCGGTCTCACCAAGGCCTTAATAAGATTATCGCAGCGGTGGAATTCACTGCAGATGCTACTCTCAATTCCGCCAAATTTGCATCTAGGGCCATGGCATCTTCAGTAGCAGCAAGAAGACTGTTATGGCTCAGAAATTGGCAGATGGAGTCACGCCGTAAATGGAAGCTGGTTTCAGTTCCATTCGCGGGCGATAAACTTTTTGGCAATGCTCTGGGATCTTATCTCATTGAAACCAGAGATAAACGTAAAATTCTCTGTTCCTTTGGGAAGAGAGCCAACTATCGCCCAGCTGCTTATACTGGTAAACAGCCCTTTCGGGAGGGTGGGGGTCGTTCCTGCCATCGCTCTAAGTAATCCCTCATTCTCCCCACTCATCGGAGGTCACCTAGCCCTCTTTGCCTCCAAATGGGAGGAGTCAACGGCGGATGCCTGCGTGCTCAGCACTATTAGGTCAGGATTACAATTGGACTTCCTAATGCACCCACCCCCCCCCAATTTTTTTTTAATCTGTCCTGTCTCTTGGGACATTTCAAGGCAAGACCTCATGAATCAGGCCATTCAACTCCTTCTTGAAATCCGAGCTATTCAAACCTGTTCCCCCCTCTCAATAGGGACGTGGGTTTTATTCTCGCCTTTTCATTGTTCCCAAAGCCTCGGGGGGTGGGGGGGTGTAGCGAACCATCCTGGAACTAAAATTTCTCAACCAATTTGTAAAATACAGGCTATTTAAAATGCAGACTCTGCATTCTATTTTAGAGAGCGATCGGGAGGGCGATCTCCTCTCTTCCACTGATCTCATGGAGGCTTACCTCCACATCCCCATTGGGCCTCATCATCGCCAGTTTTTCTGTTTCTGTTATCAGAATACCCATTACCAGTATTGAGCACTTCCCTTCACCCTCTCATCGGCTTCAAGGGTCTTCACGAAGGTTCTGGCAGCATTGATGGCATCTCTGCTTTCTGTTCCAGTGAGGATCCAATGCTACTTGGACAACATTTTGATTCTGTCCTCCTTCATCCATGCAGCCCATCGGGATCTGCAAATTACCCTGTCATATCTCCAGAGCCACGGATTTTTCCACTCCTGTCCACTCTAATGGTTCCTGCTTCCCTACCAATGAGCAGGAACCAGCCACTCATCCATCAATGTCCCACTCCCACCACAAATCTGGAGATCTCTCAATTGGTGGTGTTCCCCATTAATCTGGAAGGGACTCCTTTTCAGGGTCCCAGACAGGCTAGTGATAACCACCGATGCCAGCCTCCTGGGTTGGGGTTCCCATATGCAGGGCCAGATAGCTCAGGACCTTGGTCCAGGTCAGAGCAGGCCCTTCCCATAAATTGGTTAGAGCTCAGAGCCATTTTTCTAGCTCTCAAGCATTTCAGGCACTCATGACCGGCTCTCATGTTCTAGTCCTTATGGACAATATGGCAGCCATGGTTCATGTCAACTGGCGGGGGGAGATGAGGTCCAGAGCCCTCATGGGAGAGGCTCTACGGTTGGGGTTATGGGCAGAGCAACACCTGTTGTCGATCTCTGCAGACCTTCTCCAGGATCAACAACTCCCAGGCTGACTGGCTCAGCAGGAGCCTACTCGACCAGGCAGAATGGTCTATTCCTCCTTCTCTATTCAGGGACCTTTCCCTCAGATTCGGAATGCTGGAGGTGGATCTTCTCCACTCCTCAAATTGCCCAGGTCACCAGATTCTTCACCAGGTTTCCTTGCCAGGGAGCGGAGGGGAGCAATGCCCTTTGGTGTAGATGGCCCAAAAGTCTCCTCTATGCCTTTCCCCCGCTCCCATCATTCCGTCAGTAATTCGGAAGATGTTGGAGGAATGAGTGGAGCTCCTCCTCCTGGCACCCTATTGGCCAAGGATGCCCTGGTTTGTGGACCTGGTCAACCAGTCAGTGGCTTCTCCTTGGAGGATCCCATCTAATCTCCCTTCATCAGGGGATTCTGCTCCACCCGGAGACCCAGTGGCTCAAGCTGACCATGTGGCACTTGAGCGGCAGCGGCTTGAGGTGGCTGATCTTCCTGAAAGGGTCATCATCACTATCCTGGCATCTCGCAAGCCTCCCACAAGGCGCATCTATGATGCCACCTGGAAGGCCCTTCCCGATGGTGCCTTAGGGAGGGTCTCTCTCTCCCGCTTTAGCCCAGTTGGCAGAGGTTCTTAGATTCCTTCAGCATGATCTGGAGAAAGCTTTGGCCCCCAACACCTTATGCAGGCAAGTTGAGGCCCTCTCCTCAGTTCTTTCATGGGGTTCGCTTCCTTCCTTATTCCATCACCCTTCAGTCAGGAGGTTTTTAAAAGGGGCTTTCAACCTGCACCCTCCAGTGGTTCACAGGTATCTTTCCTGGGATCTTCATGTGGTCCTTTATGCCCTTACAAAGCCCCCTTTTGAACCCTTTAGAACATTGTCTCTCCGTTTCCTGACTCTGAAGGTAGTGTTCCCCATTCCATCACTTCAGCCAGGCAGGTATCCGAGCTCGCTGCTCTTTCCATCAGACAGGACTTTGTTCCTTTCACGATGATAGGGTTGTCCTCAGTCTGGACCCCTCATTTATTCCAAGGGTTAACACCTGTTCACAGGTCCCAGGACATTATGTTGCCTGGCTTCTGCCCCCTCCCGCACCATGACTTAGAGCAGCAGTGGCACTCGCTAGACGTAGGTAGGGCTCTTAGAATATACATTAAGTGCATTTCCTCCTTCAGGAAGTCTGAAGCCATTTTGTTTCCTTTTCCCTTTTCACTTGGGGGCATAAGGCCTCTTCTCCCACTATTAGCAGGTGGGTCAGATCTTGCTTTGAGCAGGCCTACAAAGCTGCGGCCCTTCCAGTTCCTTGAGGTCTGACGGCACACTCTACCAGAAACGCGGCCACTTTGGCTGCCTTGGTGACTCAAGCACCCTTGGAGGAGATCTGTCGTGCGGCCACGTGGACATCTCCGTCTCCTTTCATCATATACTACCATCTGGATGTCTTTGTCTCGGCAACTGCAGCCTTCGGCAGACAGGTGCTTCAACGAGTGATTCAACGGTTGGTGTGATGAGCCGGATGAGGACCCACCCATGGACATGCAAGCTTTGGTATGTCCCATTCTGGGCTCTCGATGCAGCATGGAGGAGAATGGACGTTGGTAGAAGTTACCCTGAACGCCCTTTCTATCTATGCTGCGAGGGAGCCCAGCCCCTCCCTTGATTCATCCAGAGAGGGTAAGTCATATTTCTGTATTCATTTGTGCTTTCAGAGACACCTCTCAGTCTGTCAAGTATCTTCGCCAAAGCTGGGGTCTCTTCTGGGGGCTGGCTTTTATATCTTAGTACAGACTCAGCTAAATGACATCATGGGAAGGAGTCAACCCATCCTGGGCCCTCTTGCAGCATAGATAGAAAGGGCGTTCAGGGTAACTTCTACCAACGCCCATTCATCAAGTTCTTCCTGAGAACCTGGATATTATAATGTATCAGTATAGCATATGTGTGGATCCAAGTGGTGTGACCTTTTGTGATTGACAGATGGAAAAACATAGTGAAACAAGCCTATCATTAATATTATACATCCAAAATAATGAAATTGATAATCAATCAAACCTTTTCTGGGTAGTCCAGTAAATCCAGTAAATAAGGGAGAGTGAATAAGGGACAGGAGTAATGCATAATGAGTTCCACAAGACAATTTAATGCCTGAGAAAATAATTCCATTTGTGATAATTCCAGTAGATGGAATATACACATGTTGATCCAACTAATAAAGACTAGAGGAAATCCATAATCAACAAAACTTGTTTCAAAAATTTCCATTAAACATATCAAAATCCTTTTTCATGTCTAGCAAAACTTTGTAATAATATTAATTAATTTGGGGTAAGGCAATATTCTAATACACAATGGCAAGTAAAATCCTTAGCAAAATAGATGTCCAATACATTGATATATCTGTATTATATTTAGAATGACTATGATAATATGTGCAGTATGTTTAATTGAACATTCTCTCACACACATATACACACACATACATAAAAATCTTCTGACTCCATTACTCCAGATAATTGAAATAAATTGTTAGCAATTAAGCAAAATTGCTATACCTTTTATAGATTTGATTTTCTACTTTTTTTGTATATATATTTGACTAGCCCACCCTTGAGAAAAAGGCATAACTCTTAAGGGAGAATGTAAGATTCAAGTTTAAAATTTACCTTTTATGCCCCCATTTCACTTTTGCCTTTTTTCGTTTCAGGGATGCCCTCTGTCTGTTTATTAGTTATACTTCTTTTATCACTAATTATCAGTTTGATTTCTGGAGAAACAGAAGTAAAGTTTACAGGACAAACAGAATTTGTAGTGAATGAAACAACTACAACAGTTATACGTCTTGTTATTGAAAGAATAGGAGACCCAGTGAATGTCACAGCAATTGTATCGGTAAGAAATGTTTCCCATCTAATTGCTCTAAAGTAAATATTTACATTGTTTGCTTTCTAAAATAGAATCTTTTACTTAGGGACAAGCAGATTCATTTTTTCTTGATAATAGCAAAGGCCATACTGGAATGAATGGCACAAATATATATAATCCAAAGAAAATATGTCAGCCATAAAGATATTTGTTTTAAGAGTGTCATAAGATGCAAATGAGCAGAAATAAGATGTATTTGTTTTTCATTACTGGATTGTGTATGTATATATGTATTGCAGATTCATGGTGAAAATACAGGTGATTTTTTTGACACATATGCAGCAGCTTACATATCCCAGGCAGAAACAAATCGAACTGTTTTCATTTCTGTGTGTGATGATGATATTCCAGAAGCTGATGAAACATTTATATTTTATTTGACGTTACAGGTAGGCATTACTTTTTTTACATACACACATAAATACATACATGAATACATACATACACACACACATGCACACATGGTATGCACACAGACACACATATATTGTATATGTATATATGTGTGTCAGTGATGGGATTCAAATTTTTTTGCTACCGGTTCTGTGGGCGTGGCTTGGTGGACGTGACAAGGGAAAGATACTGTAAAATCTCCAGTCAGAGGTGGTATTTACCATTTCTCCAGACTACTCAAAATTTCCGCTACCGGTTCTCCAGAAACGGTGAGAACCTGCCAAATATCACCTCTGATGTGTGTATGTGTTGAAATTTTTTCTAATGTTTTTTCTTACTGCCATTGTATTCTTTATTATTTCAACCATTCTCTTTAATCTGGGTGGGGGGAACCCTCAATTTACTTGAGAAGTAATTTCAGGGAAAGTTACATTGGTACAAAGGTCTTGTACCTTCCTTAGTTACAAAGGGAGTCTACATATCCCTCATTGTTACAAGGTCTCCAGCAATCTGCAGCCATACTAGTTTCTTATCGGCTATGGTGCTGGAGTGATTAGAATGCAGTACTGGAAGCTACTTCTGCTGACTGACGGCTACCTGCAATCTGGCAGTTTGAATCTCACCAGGCTCAAGGCTGACTCAGCCTTCCATCCTTCTGAGGTTGGTAAAATGAGAACCCAGATTGTTGGGGGCAATATGCTGATTTTGTAAACCACTTAAGAGTGGGCTGTAAAGCACTGTGAAGAGGTATATAATTCTAATTGCTAATGCTAATGCTTATCTTCAATTTAATATTTAGGGAATTAAAAGTCTTTATGAAGAAAAGGAAGGATACATAGCCAGGGAATTTGTGAAGTAATGGACAAAAATGCAACACAAAACAAGAATATTAAGAGTATCAGATCAGTAAAGCCCCAGAATACTGGGAAAAGATGTGATTTTTCTGAAGAGATGCAGATGAATGCTAGATTGGTGAATAGAATAGTATTTTAGAATAGAATCCAAAGCATTATTATAGTAATCACTCACCAATCAAATCCTCCTATAACTTGTATTTGAAATAATTTTTGATACTGATTCTGACTTTAAATTGTTTGTTTTTAAAATAAGAACATTTAAAATTTGACCTTACTCAATTTCATACTGACATATAAAATTTTATACCAACAATCTCATTCAGTGTCTGAACTGGAGAGAAAAAGAAAATTGAATGCTGATCGCTTTGCAAACATCTTTTTACTTTCCTTGCATATTTATTAAAACCAGATGTAGATTTATTTGTCTGAGATTACAAAATACACATGTCTATAATAACTTAAGTTTACAGTTTGACGTTATTTAAAATAAATTATACGATTAATTATGATCACTAAGTTGTTTTAAACATGAGAATTAGAGTATTTGATTCTCAATTCGGAAAACCCATTCAAAAATATTGGGGACTTCTTTTTATTCATTTATTATAATTTATTAAATTTGTTTGCTGCCTATCTCATCATGAGGTTTTGTTTTGTTATTCGGACCTCTAGCATAGGGAGATTCTGGTCACTGCAGATAGATCACTAGTTAGTATGAGATAATTACGTAATGAACTTCATTATTATTTAATATGCTTTCACTTTTTTCTTTTAACTAAAATAAAATTGATCAATGAAATACGTAATTGTTTTAAATACAATCAGTGTGATCTCTCTATATTTTTTAGTCATAACTGCAAAATGATTTATTTCAGTAGGGTTTTACACAAAAGTTGTTCAGGTTCTTGAAGGACCTGAGGGAGGAAAGGAATGCATATTTCTCATCTAGCATCTTATTGCTATGGTATCATTAGCTATGATTAATGATTGTCAAAGTTTGAGTCAAACACTTTTTTGTTTAACCAGATTGAGTCTATAGGATTTGAGTTCCATGAAAAGTGCTTTTGCGGTATTGCCTTCATTTGAGTACTTTCCCTGGAATGTGTCACAAACATTTGTTTGCTCTGTAAACACAGACATTAGTGAATAGAAGAATCTTTTCTCCTGTTATATAGAAGTGTTTGTTTATCTTGATTTTCTGTTTTGTCTGCCATGTTTGTTTTAGAAGCCACTTCAAGGAGTAAAGCTTGGATTGCCTAGAGCTGTTACTGTAACAATTTTATCAAATGACAATGCTTTTGGAATTATTTCTTTTGATATGGTATGTTTTCATTTACTGCATCTGTTTACTTAAATTAGAATGATAAGAAAATATCTCGCACAGAAAATGTGCTTGCTTATTATTTAAATATATATCCTTTTCAAATAAAAAATCTTACTTAAATTTATAAATAGAATATATAAAAATGGAATGTTGTAAGCTGCCCAGTCACCTATGTGTGACTCTGTGAATTTCTTTAATAAATAAATACTGTGAGAATACTGAAAACTCATCAAGCAAAATCACATCAGTAAGAAATTAATAAGAGCACCCACAGAACAGCAACAAAACAGAATAAAAGACAAACATCCATTTGAATTTTAAAAAAACTGTAAGCAGCTCCACCAATATAGCATTCCAGAGCTAATAGCTGTTACCAAAACCCCCCACTCTTATTTCCCCAGTAAAAAATTCTGATAGTTTCATCTTAGAAAGGAGAAATTCTCTTAAAAATATTTTGAAAATTGATAACATAATGGATATTCAAAGTATAGCGGTTGATCATTTATGCTCAAAACTAAATCGTAGCTTAGCCATGAATGTCACGTCTACTTATTCAACAGCAGGATGTTGCTATTTGAAAGTTATTTGTATAAATGCATTCTTTCACTATTTAAATTAGCAGTTGTTGGAATTTAAGATTTGATGTTTACAGTTTTCTTCAAGCAACCATAAGTCTTTGTGGGTTCTTTATACCATATATACAGTATATATTACTACCTATATTATCACTTCAGAAATGAAATAGGGGCAGCCCATGAATATGATGATTGGTAAGAAACTACAAGGTCAGGGTCAAATAAGGTGAAAATAGCTGTTCATTGAATTTAGGGGAAAAAAATAAGGAACAGAATGCAGAAAATAAAGCATTTCCCATCAGTGCATTGTTTCTTAATAAGTCTTATAAACTCTGGTACTACTCTATTCTTAAGAGGACGATTTAGCATTAAATATATTATATTGTAAAATATAATTGATTCTTTATATTTAATAAATCAATAAGATATATAAATAATATACTAATTATTTGTAGCACATGTTTTAGTGGGTAAAAAAACAATCATTACCAATATTGAAATCTTTGATATACTTGATTATCAGAATTAATTTGTTGTTGAAAAACAGTATATCATTATTGGATGAATTCATAAACTGAATTAATTTATCACTAGGAGGATGTTTAAAATAGCCTTTTGTATATTCGGTTCCCTAAATATTTCATTGATGCCTGATTTTTTTTCTCCCCCCCCCCCCAAATCTTCAATCTCATCTCTAAATTTTAGCCTACCTTAATTACATTGACTGAGCCCAGGGGTGAGAATGAATCAGTGCCTTTTACTTTAGTTAGAGAGAAGGGAACATATGGATCTGTCACTGTCTTCTATGAGGTAAGCATGCTGAATTAGGTTTACTTTAAAAATATTATTTTGAATAAACGAGAAAGTTTGAATCATTGTGGTAGATGAATTTGACATTTCTTAAATGAAGTAGAACTTGCCATTTCTAAATATTCTACTTAGCAGGACTATTTTCATTTTCAGGATAGTCACCTGACCAGATCATTGTAATCAGAGCATTATTAATATCTGTTCTGTCCTGGGGAAGTTGGGTTGAACTTGTGAGCTCTTGGAGTATCCAGCAGGACCAGGAAAATATTGGTCCTAAATTGTGTTATTGGAACAAGGGAAGATTTTCATGGCAAGAATCAGTTTTTTCAGGACCAGAAAACATACTGAAAAAGGCATATATTGATGTAATAATTTCACTTGTAATCTAACATTCCATGCTGGACTTGATAAACTTGATATTTTAGCCAAAGCTACAGAGATTTTATAGTGACCTTGTTTGGAATTATAAAGTCTGACACACTAGTGGTTTTAAATTCTGTTCCTTTTTTCATCCAGTAAGGATCTTAACAGGTGAACAGCTTTTAGAATTGGTGGATCAGTTCAAAGTCAGATTTTGCTATTTTCAGATATGGAATCTAATAACTTCTATTATGTGAGTAGGTATTCGGAGAAATCCTTCTTGGCTATAGGCATGATACATTTCAGAGTCATAAAAATTCTATACATTTTAGAATCATAAGACTTTTTAGGCAAATGCTATAAAACATGTCACAAATTAGCTTTATTCTACAAAAGCATAAATAACCAGTTTTTGATAGATACTCATCAAATTTATATTAGCCTTTTGAAAAAAACATTTCTACCTCATAAACCCCTTTAAAAAGACACATAATAATTAAAACTCTTCTTCCTTCTTTTATTTTGAGTTTACATTGGGTTTGGTATGAGTTCCTCAGTATATTAACTGATTCAAACTGCCTACATGTATTAAATCCATCTCCTGATTCTCAATGTATTAGAAGAAGACTTGCCATTTTTATTTTTGTTTATACATGTGTTCTACAGCAACAGTTGAAGTGTACAAAACTACCTTGTGGATAAATATGGATATTTTGAACTACTGTACCTCCACTTCGAAGAACCATTTCCGAATTTTTTTGAATAACTGTTATTGATGCAGTCCTCAGGTTTCCTTCAGAAATGATTGTCTAGACATTTTTGAGATCTTATTTTCTGAATGTTTTAATTGTTGAAGTTAACAATATGTATTTTTAATTGATATAACAAATCAGTACTTCTATTAAACATCTTCAGCTTTCTTCATAGGTACAAGGTGGTCCAAATTCTCCTGAAGAAGATTTGAGTCCAGTAAAGGGAAATATAACTTTTACACCTGCCACAAATGTCTTGATTTATAATTTATTTGTTCTTGATGACCAGGTAAAAATATATATCAATTATATTTACCCATTTGATCAATTAGTAAATTAACAAAAAAGATAAAAGAAAAAGTAGCAGAGTTAGATAATTATTTGGAAAGCAATTGGTTTGCTTGCAAAGAAATTACAGTCTTTCAGATTTTTACCATCAAGCAATTCTTGTAATTAATGTTTCACAAAGTTTTTGAATCTTCAAAGGAAATAGTGGCTGAATTTAGTGGCAAGAAAATAAAGCAAAAAAAAAAAAAAACCCATGTAACAAATGGTTTTATCTATAAAGTACTAATTACATGAATCTGAATGAGAAATATAAATTATGCTTTAGTAATGTATATCTTACTTATTCTAGGTATCAGAAAATGATGAAATATATATTATACATTTGAGAAGCGTGGAAGGGGGAGCTGAAATTAATTCATCAAGAAATTCTGTTGAGATTATTATTAAAGCAAATGACAGTCCAGTGCGATTTACTCAGAGTATTTATATGGTAGATGAAGAAGATGATATAATAGCAATCATGGTAGTTCGAGGAAAAGATGATGGTGGAAATAGAATTGGACCAGATGAAAATCAAGTTTCCATATGCTACATCATTGTAACTGGGAACTCTACACTCCATGCACAGCTTAACTTAGATTTTCTAGATCTACAGCCAAATACAACTATTGTTTTCCCACCTCTAGTGCATGAATCATATATTAAATTCAAAATCCTTGATGATGCCATACCAGAAATTGCTGAAACGTTTCATATCATGCTACTTAAAGACACTTTGCAAGGAGATGCCATTTTGAAAAATCCATCAATTGTCCAAGTTACCATTAAACCCAATGATAAACCATATGGAGTATTATCCATCAATAGCATCTTGTTTACTCAGACAATTGTTATCAATGAAGATCAAACGCTGAGGTATGTATTACTTTCTCATTATATTGATAATATCAGAATATATAATTTTGCTTTATAATTTAGCTAATTTTCTTAATTAAATACTTTAATTAAATCATTGACATTAATATCAGTGGGTTTTTTCAGGATTTTCTAGTTTTTCTTTTACAGATTTGTAAAATGCTATTCTTACTTTAGTAAGACTAGTTTAGACTGACTTTCATGAAAATGAATGACTATATTCACAAAAAACACAAAAATGTCACATAAAAAACAGGAAAATGGGTAAATTAACCAATTTTTAAAATTACAGTCTTTAATCATTCAAAAAGAATATTAAAGTCAGTGGCATTACAGTAAAAAAGGCTCTATACAAATAATAATATATACAAGGTTTTGTAAAGAGAACCTTTCTAAAACATTTTAAAACATGGTGAAAGTAGGATAGATTGATATTCTCATTCTCTGTGTTTGGGTTCAAAGTTATTTAAGACTTTAAAGATAAAACACAATACTTAAAAACAGATACTGATTTAGGCCAAGAAATAAAGTAGTTAGGGGTGTTGGGAGGGAGGAAATCAAGGTAGTTATTGAAACCATATTATCCCAAGTGATCGAGATAGCAACTGAATCATGTGAGCTAGATCTGCTCCTTTTTAACATTTGACACTCCCCATTGACTGTCAATCAAAGCAGCACAGTTTTATAAAGGTAAGTTTAATGAGATTCCATTTGGTGCATAAGCTTCAAGAGAAAGTACACTTTCAATATATAAACCAAAAGTTTATCAAAGCATATCTAAATAGACATGTCTGGGTCAGTTGATGATGACACAACATGGAGATGACAAAGTATGTATCATAATGTTGCAATGCAAACCACATACGTATGTACAACGTTAACAAGTACAAAAGGATAGATCTCTGTCATGCAGCCCCAATTCATGATTCTTTATTCCTGGACCACTCGCTTTTTTATTGAATAGCTCTGTCGATAAGAAATAGTTATAAGTGAAAAGCTAGAAAATTTTTGGGTCAAATACCCAGAATGAGAGGATTTTAAAAATTAATATTCAGTTGAAACCAGTTCAGGACTGACAGATAAACAGCTGGAAAAAACTCATGGAACATTTTTTATATATGATAATTGCAGCAAGATGGAAAGATCTGGCTATGTCTACAACAGAGGAAGGTTTGGTGAAGATGATGGAGTTTTCTGAATGGCAAAGTTGACTTGTTTGATTAGAAAAAACACTATTTTTTGTGCATCATGTAGGTATGAAGGCATCACTGTTGTAAGGAATGGTGGAACACATGGAAATATTTCAGTTTCCTGGATTATAATTCGCAATAGCACTGATTCTTCACCTGTGACAACAGATCTCACGCCACACTCAGGGGTGTTACATTTTGCTCAAGGGCAGTTATTGGCATCCCTCCATCTGAATATCATTGATGATGATGTCCCTGAAGAAGCAGAGCCATATTTGCTTCAAATTTTAGATCATACAATACAAGGAGGGGCAGAAGTGAGTGACCCAGCTGAGGTAAGTCTGCATTTATTTTTCTAAAAGGGTGCAAGCACTGAGATGGTGTTTGGGCAAAAATAATGCATAGAAAATATTGCTAAGATGTACCCATGAATAGCCATCTTATTTTTAATCTATAAAATGACATTTACTGAGATAATATTGCAAGGATTATAAATTGTGTGCTTTCCTGTACTAGAGCAATTTTGATCTTGAGAAAGAAATGATGGAATCCTATTGTTGGGAACTTATCAAAAAATGATAGGGACAATAGAGTAGAGTAGAACAGATGGGATGTTAAATTTTGATGTAAATTGCACAGGAATGCTTAATGCTAAGGTGGATAATAGCTATTTCTCAATATCTGCAAAAGTTTGCCTGCTTGCTAAAAGTTCTTGCTTTTAGTAACATAGTGTTACGAAGTTGCTTACTCTTAGAGAATATCTAAATACCTTTGGTTTGTGAGCAGAACATTTAAGATATAGTGATAAAATTATATTCTTATGGTTTACATTTAAAACCCTTCTTGGTGATATGGCCACTTATGTTGAATTGCTATTAGTAGCTCAGTTCTAGTCAGATGTTGGAATATAGGAAAGCTCTGTATGTATGTCAATGTCTCTCAGGCGCTTTCATATTAAATTACGAGCAAAGGACAGTCAGAATAGCAAATCTTGAGTTCTTAGACTTTATCATGAGATAGCTAAAATATCAATTAGAATCATATAAATGGTGAGAAAATATAATTGGGATTGAATTAGAAATTTGCTTTTAACAAGAATCTTGTTTGTCCTTCTTGTAGCTTTTGTTCTACATTCAGGACAGTGATGATGTTTATGGTGTAATTCAATTCTGTCATTTGGAGAATCAGAGGATAGAAAGCAGCCCGGATGGACGCTTTTTGTCCCTTAGCTTTACAAGGCAAAGGGGAACTGTGGGAGACGTGAAGCTCTTTTATATTATCTTGTATATTCCTTCTGGACCTGTGGATCCTGAACAAGCTAAAGAAGGTGTTTTAAACACTTCAAGAAGAAGTATTCTCTACTTTCCAGAAGGAAAACCTAATGACACCATTAAAGTACCAATAAGAAATGATGCATTTCTTCAAAATGGAGCCCATTTTTTAATACAGGTATCTAAATTATATGCATAAAAGTTACAAATAATTTGTGATGCATAATATTATGTCACAACTGTTCAATGAGATATATCAGCAGTGCCATGATTTGCCATTCAAGTAATCTTTATGTTCCTAATATCCAAGCAATTACTATTTTTTAAACTTTCCCTATGAGAAAGTAATAATGAATTGTACTTCCCAATATACTACTCTCCTGAAAATCAATTTTCATGACATGTTTAGGTAAAACTCTTTAACTGATGAGTGATTATGGGTTTTTTTTCTGTAAAAGGGAACATTATGATACAGAGCAAATAAATTTGAAGAAAATGGGAAGGGAATGGGGGAGGGGATTGAAAACATGAGAATTATTTTTTTAATTATCACAATAGTCCATTTTTTAATGGACTATTTTTTGATATATATCTCGAGTTGTGATACCATTGTGGTCTTATATATATGTTAGGACTCTTCTTGATTTCCATGTATTATAGCCAGATGCGGTACACAGAAATGGGAAGTAGAGAAAAAGGTCTAGGTTTTCTATATCAGTGAAGAAGGCGCTTCCACACAGTTCCATTTCTATTTCTCAGTCTCCTCAAAATGTATGAAAGGCAGTCATAGAATTGTCTTTATTCCTGCAAATTTTGGAAGGCTGAGAACAAGCAGCACCAATTCCTCTCACTTAGGAATAGTGTAAAAATTACCTTCCAGTCAGCAACCTGCCTCATAGGCTAAAGAGGAAAAGAGAAAGAAAGAAAAATAAATTGCAAAATGCTTCTCCCCCCATTTAAGTACATGTTTTCTGCATTTGTCTGTTCATTCTGCAAAAACCCTGAGCTATTGGTATGAGTTAAAATTGCCTCACCCTCAAGAGACTTATTGCTGCGTAGCAAGATATCTTTCCATGAAAATAAGAAGTATTAGTATACTGATAATATTCAATTGTATATCCCTGCCCTGGCAAATTATGTGATGTTGTGGACATCCTATCCCAATTTCTGGAGGCTGTGAGGATCTGGATTGGGAACCACAAGCTTTAACTGAACCCTGGCAAACTCAGTGACTTTGGATTTTGAACCCCTTTGGTTCTGGGACTAAACCATCTTTGGTACAGGACTGGGTGCACTGCCCTAATCAGATCCTATGTGCAATCTGGGGGTCCTCTTGGACTCACAATTCCTGCATGATTGGCTCAAGGTTGACTCAACTTTCTATCCTTCCAAGGGCAGTAAAATGAAGGCCCATATTGTTGGGGGCAATTTGCTGACTCTGTAAACCACTTAGAGAGGGCTGGAAAGCAATGTGAAGCAGTCTAAGTGATATTGCTATTGAAGAACAGGTGGCAGTCGGGGCTAGGAGAGCCTTTGTATAACATATTGTGCACCAATTGCATCCTTTCCTACATCAAGGGGACCTACTCATGGTCACTCATGCCCAGTTACTAGTTTGTTTCAGGTTGAATTCAAGGTGATGGTAGTTGACCATTAAAGCCCTTCATGGTATGGGATTGGGTTATTTGAGGGACCACCTCTCCCCAATTTTATCTGCCCATTGATCAGTAGGGAGGACTTGTTATGGTTCTGTCACCTAGGGAGTTATAGTTGGTGGCAGTAGGCCTTTTCTACTGTGGCGCCTGCACTGTGGAATTTTGTTCCCCCTGAGATGAGGTTGCTCTCATCATTGTTGAACTTTCAGAGGTCTCAAGAATAGGTTATGCCAGCAGGCTTGGGATTCTGAGGGGCAGGTGAACTAGTGAGGTGGCTCCACTATTTTTAATTTCTTTTGTTTATTATTCTATGCTTTCGTTTGTTATTTATTCATTTATTTGTATCTTGCATTTATTATTTCTACAAATATTGCTAAGCGATAAACCTTCCTCCTCCTATGTTTCCCACAAGAACAACCTTGCAAGGTGGGTTGAGCTGAGAGAAGAGAGTAACTTGCCCAAAGACCTCCAGCTGGCTTTCATGGCTAAAGTGGGACTTGAACTCACAATCTCCCACTTTCTCGTCTGGTGTCTTAAGCACTAGACTAAATTGGGTCTTTTAATACTTTTTAATGTATTTCATTAATTATGTTAAGTATTGAGATTTAAGAGCTGACCAGTTGCTGTAAGGTTGATGCAATGTAAGGCTGATGCAATGTAAAGCTGATGCAATGAGAATGAATCAGCATTGGTATTGCCTTTTTAAGACTATGTATGGGTCCACAGAAGTTTTACCTCTTTAAGAGGTGTTTATATAAGGCAGCCATTAGAGGGCATGTTTCTCTCTCCTTGTGTCCTGTATCTATTGCAGAATTCTCCGTGTAGAGTTAAAAAGATTGATAGCTTGTATTTGCCTACCATGTATATTTCTGTATATGTCTTATATATAAACCATTGTTAAATGTCTAAGTCTCTGTGTGCTGTGTTTTGCTCCTGGGTTGTCTCATAAAGGTAGTCACACTGCAAATGCCCTGACAAATTGATTTTAATTTTTTTGTACAGTGCCTAGAGTTGTATGTTTGTGCAGTGGACGACTATATAAATTAGATGGATGGATAGGTAGATTTACAATGTTTTAAGTAAGTACTTCCCAAGCAACAAATGGGAGGGTATCCCAAAGGTATCAGATTGATTCCAGTATTGTACAGGTGGATTGAATGATCATCCATTCAACATAGTAGAGGAAGCGAGATGCCAATACCTCTACCATCCAGTTATCCTTAATTACTGCATCTTCTTCCATACTGGATAGGTGATACCTTTCTTCTATCACTAATGCAGGGAGGAACTGTTGAGATTCCTATGAGCATCAATAAATCCACATTACTTGTCATTTCTGCCTTGAGTAGGAATTTTTGGTTGATGATCCATGTGTTTCTTTTCTTGTCTATCCACAATATTCTCAAGACTCTTCTGTGACAGCAAAATCCAAAAATCTTAACAGTTTTCCTATCTTGCTTCTTCATAGTACTACTTTAACTTCCATAAAATGTCATAGGGAATATCATGGCTTGCATGAGTCTGGTAATACTCCATTGATGACCATTCATTTAACAATGCTTTACAGCCCATAAAGCACTTCCAACCATGACAAAACCACCCTAGATTATTATAATCTAGATGTTTGGCAACCTGTTCAAATTTATGACTGGTCACTAAGTGTCTGACAATCCTGTGATTGCCATCTGCAATGACCACTTTGCTCAATGACCAAGACTGTGGGCCCAACTGTGATCATACATCAAGGACTACTTAAAGATACATCACAGAATTTGACATAATTGATACACTCAAAGGCCTTTCTAAAGACAGTGAAGCATATAGTGACTTCTTTTGTATATTGTTTAACTTTCTCAATTATCTAAGAAGCACCTACTCCTGCACCATATTCTAATTTCCAGGCTTATTTCTATCTTATATTTACTTATTTATAAGTACATGGATCCATTCAGATATTTTACTTGTCAAAAATGTAGAAATGATTGGCTATTTCCTTCTTTTGAGATTGCATCTGGTTCCCAATTTTCTAAACATTTATAGTTATAAGCTTTTTTACTGATCCCTTCATCCCAATGCTTAATTTTTTTTAAACCAAAAAATCTTGTCTGCTATTCATACATAATTTTAAATGACTTCCTATTTCTCTGTTTCTTTTTCAGTGTAGCTGATTCAATATTAATTTGTGCTGCTTTTACAAATATAGCGATCATGCTGTTAAAAATCTTTAATTCTGACAAGGTTATTAACATGTCTGTTATAATTAAGATAAGGACTTGACTTTTTTCATTTTGGGATTACAAATTTTTTTATGTATGGAATATTTATATGGCAAAAAATAAATTTCCAGTCTAATAAGTAATACTAATAAGTAACAGCTAAAATATGTTCTATTCCAGGACTATTAATAACAAAAAATCTTAAAATCTTTTTCTTATTTCAGCTGGAAAAAGTTGAATTACTGAATATTATTCCTCAAATTCCTTCTATAAGTCCTCGATTAGGTGAAATTAAAAATGTATCCTTAAGAATTACACCTGATATAGCAAATGGAGAAATTGGCTTTATCAGCAATCTTTCAATAATTTTACCTGAGCCAGAAGATTCTCTTTTTGCAGTGGTAAGTTAATCTTTCTATGCCCTGCTCTTATAAATTAAGCACAGTATTTAATAAAAATAGCATATACCTTCATGCAGGAAAGTTTTGTAACACATATTTGAAATATTTCTAATGTAATCATTGTCCTGAAATGAATGATTATTTTAGTAAGTCTGAATCATAGCTTTAAACTGAAGTTTAGAATTTATTTGTTCTTGATTATGAAAAGTCCTTTGAGTGTTTAAAATTGTGAGTTTTGTAGATACAATAAAAATTGTTCTTTCTCACTTCAGCTAAAATCAACCACCACTTAACTTTTTTTGTCTTATAATTTCATGGTGATAATCAAGCTAACAGTGTTTAAAGAGCTACTTTAGCAATGATTTGATTGCTTACAGTTTGGAAAATCAAGTTTTGTATACATCCAACATGTGCAAATTACAAGTTTGGTATTTGTTCTAGAGCTCCATTCCTTTGCATCGAGATGGGACAGATGGACAAGCCACTGTATTCTGGAGCCTAACACCTACAGGCCTCAATTCAAAAGCTGTGACTATTGATGACATATGGCCGTTTTCTGGTTCAGTTCTGTTTTTATCTGGACAAAGTGACACAGCAATCAACATTACTATTCAAGCTGATGACATACCTGAAATGAATGAGACCCTAACATTATCATTAGACAGGTACTCTTTGATAATTAAAAAGAAACAAATTAAAATCATGGTTTCCCCTGATGCAGTAATATAAAACACTTATATAAGACTTAACCATAATATAATAGATGGCACATATTTAAAGTGTAATTTTAGGCATACTAACCTTGCATTCAGTCCAGAAAGCACAATGAGATTAATTTTTCAGAAAATCTGAGAACTGAAGTAAGCAAGGCTAAAATAAAGAAAGACAAAGACACTATTATCAAAACACTGTGCAGATGCTGTTAACGTCAAAGGCTGAAAAACATGACAAAATTTTGTAACCAAGTAAGGCCTGGTGAAGATTTTTAGGGTTTACAATGCTGATATAAAAATATGGTTTGATTCCTATAGTAGCTGATTTTTCTCATTTAAGAGTTTTGCTCACATTTGCACTTCATCTGTTTGAGACCTATCCTTGAATCTTGCTGCTAACGTTTGTGTTTTTAAAATAGTGGTTTTGAACTTTAGTAACTTTAAGAATTCTGTGAGTTGGTCCACACATCCTAAAGTTGTCAAAATTGAAAACCGTTAAAATTGAAAACCACTGTCCTAGAGATAAATTTATTGCTACACCCTTGTAAAGCGACAAACCAAACCAAAACCAAAACCATTATAACATCTCTCACTGAGGTGTGGTCCAACTAGAATTAAAAATAAATAAATAAAAAGCAATGACAATTACACAAAAATAATGAAATGAATATTATAATTCATTATCATTTGCCTACCTATAATTAACCTTGTTAATATGATTGTATAGCAAAACAACCTTTTGGCCATTCATCTTCACCTTAAACCTCTTCAAAGGCTCAGTCTGCTATTCATATCTGCAAAATTCATAAAGGAACTTAGAAATTTCCATGCCCTTGAGAAAAACATGGCAGGTATCTTTCCATCCCTCTATGCTCAAAGGAAGAATATTTACTAAAATAAAGTTTGATGTTCTATCTTCTGCTGCTCTATAAGGCAGATTCTGAAATATTGCTTATAAAGAATACCTCTGTCCTTTCCAAAGACAGAAATTTTTAGCAATGTTTTACAGCCCTGCATTTTCTACAGAGAGTATGCATTAAGTATATTGCACTTTTTTTTCATAATCCATGCCAATCAGGAAAGCAAAGCATTTTGAATCCCATATGACTTAACATCTAGGTCACCCTTGTGAACTAGCACCTGACAGTTGATCACTATTTAATTTTTTTCTTGGAGAGGATATGTTCAGGTAGAATTTGTGGCAGCATCCATTAATAAGTTATTTGGTGTTTTTACATTTCTGAAGAGTAAGTTTAAGCATTTTATCTGATTAATTTTTCTTTTACTTTACATTTACACTGAACCTATATAATTTAATACTATGTAGATATATACATTAACTTAATATTACCTAATTATGTTATTATACCTTAGGAACTATATTTTATCATTTAGCTAACCTTATAGAAATATACAGTTTTACTTATAACATGGTAATTTTATGCTGGTCTTTGAAATAAAGATTGTTGCTCTTTTCTGTTACTTTATGTCTAATTTGTTTATAAAGTGTCCATCATCTGATTTGAACTTGTTTAGTTGAAATGATAACAAAGCAAAGTTTCAGTCAGATTTCCTTCTCAGTCATGCCTGATTCTGGGATAATCTTGAAAATGTATTCATTTAATTACATGCTATAATACTGAAAAACAAACTGTGCTGCAGTCTAATAGCATCAGAATAAAGATAATTATTGGATTACTAAAGTTATCACAGAAATGAAATTGATAGACACTGTTAACTAAAGATACATGTCATTAAGCTCTTAGCTCAAGTATAATATAGCTTTTAGCTTTATATCATATAGCATAAGTTAATTTCATAAGAGATAAGTATGATATAAATGTATATATTGCTTTGCTTTTACCTAGAATCTACCTTGCCAAGACTATATTTGTTGTATGCAGTTGTCCCATTTATCTTTATGTTCTTGCTTCTGTACTGTGAATTTGTAATGATTATGTCATAGATGATACATTCTATATTTCTAAAATGCTTCCTCATCTTCCTCCCCCCCAGATGAAACCTTAATTTTCTGTGTTTTCTCAACTGTTGTATTTGTAAAGGTTTCCTAATGTAGTGGGAGGTCACATTTCTAAGAAAAAATTGTAACCTTCTGCATGTACAGATATAACAAATCACAGGAACAGAGACAGCAATTTAATCAAAGGAACTGTTGTCTTACAATATTAGGGGTAGGATTAAAGGTTTTATTCATTTCAGATTTTTTTAAAGGAATAAAATCATTATTTGTTCAGTTCTAATTTTTTGTTTTTAGATGAAATTCTTATAAGCTTAGAAAATGTTTTTCTCATTTGTATCATTCTTATTAATTAGCACATCCACATACACCCATCAGTACAACATTAGACAAAGGCAACCTCTGTCCTTCATTATCTTACACAACCAGTAGGACTCTTTAGTAGATTGACAGGTGCTGGAGGCACAAAACAGACTTTTTTTTATGCACAAAACATACTTTTTATTCTGATCCAAAGCACTGAGTACTTACAAGTAGTCCTGAATAAAAATGGACTCAGCTGCTGGGCTTCTGTGCCTGAACACTGTACTAGGGCAGCCAGCAACTAACTCTGAGTAATGCTGTAATGAAGGGCTTAAAGAGTCCTTGACATCCCAATTGGTCACAGGGTCATCCGAATTACAAGTGCAAATTCCTGAACCTCTTGCTAGCATTGCTGGAACAAGGATTCCCATAAATAAACAGTAGGTCTCTGAAAAGTGCTGTATTATAATCTTTCATTTGATTTCCACCATCTAAAGAACTCTCATACAAAGAACTTGGCCAACAGTGGTTTTATTTCTGTCCCCCATTTCTTTCTCTCCACATTGACAGAGTAGAGACAGAAAGGTTTGTCGTGTACTTTGGGTAAGTGCCGCAAGCTGTGTCTTTGTTTTCAGTGAACTAGTTTTTTTGTTTCGGAAGTGGTTGGTCTGGACAGGAATCTCCTTTGGTTTTTCTCTCTGCCTTGCAAGCCTTCTCAGGGAAAGCATGCTATTTAGTGCCCCTTGGTAACATGTCTTGGTGGATTGAAAACATTTTGGGAGGGAGGAGGGATTCTAACAACAACAAGAACAATAATGGTTACGAATGCATGGCTTGATGTTTGAAGATAGTCCAGTACAGTAGATGGCTTGAAAAACCTGTACCCCAAATCTCTTTCCACTGAGCTGTAGGAATCAAGTATGTAAAAAGGTTATTTACAAAAGTCTTTAATCAAATTATACGTTTTTCATTGCAGCATTTGAATCGTGCACAGCACAATTCAATGACTGCTGTTTATTTAGAAGCAAAATGGCTGCATTCAGTATAACTAGTCCGTAGACAAAAGTGTACAGGTTGCAAAGTTAGCAAAGAGGCCTGCCCACATTAGTACAATAGGCTTTTAAAAGAGACTACAGTTACTTGTAGGTTGTACTTTTTTATACAATCTGGCATATAATTAGGAACCTGAAGTAATATTTAACAAGATTTAAATTAAATACTTGTACACAAAAGTTCTGGCAGTGAAACAATTAAACTCAGTTCTACTTGCCATGAGGCTTTACTGAACTGGAAGTAGTCAGTGATTAAATAAATTTTCCCTCTTTGGAGTGTCCACAGATGAAGAACAAGTCAAGATGGCAGCTGTAATTGTGTGCCTAAAAGCTTCACCTGTTTTTTTAATGTGTGTTATATACATGGACTCCTCTGTTTTGTTATATAATGTGCAATCTGTTTTCTAAAATCCAAATAATCCTCAGAGGGGATTCTGTATGTGATATTGAATACTGAGAAATATTTGATTAGTCAATATTAGCAGACTGTCTTCTGACAAATTATACTGTCAGTGTGAAAGAGATTTTTTCTTTTGCTTAGGCTATGTTAGCATATCTTTGGTAGAGCAACAGTTTTATCTGTTTCCTGAATGAAGCCAGTTCAGGGCAAGCCTTTTTTGAGGGAAACAGGAGAGGGCAAAAATCTCATTTGGAGGTGGTGAAGTACAGAACCCCAATGCTTTATAATTATAGTGACCATATAATAAAAGATAATCCTTCACTTTAGCTTCTTTAGATTTATGTTTTTTTTTCAAAAAGTCACTTTTGTCCTTTATTTTGGTCATTTAATTTTTACTATACAAAAGGTACCATTTAATTCACTCTTTCACATTTGTGAACAGAACTTTTAAAACTAAATTTACACATACTATTTGATTTTAGATTTTTTTTAATTAGAATACAATTTTTGGTTTTTTGCTCTTGAATTTTCCTTTGTAAAGCATTATGCTATGATTATATATATTCCTAATTTTTTTATGTACCTCTTTTGGAGTTTTCAGGTTTGTCCTTTATTTTTTTTCAAGAGTATATGGTCACTATATTTGTACTTTACCATAGGCTTTGGTCCACTTAATTGCAAACAATCTGCATATTCCAGATGCGTTCAATTTTTTTCTTCAGTGTGAATGTGGAAAATCAAATCCTGAAATCTGGATATACTAGTCGCAAATTGATCATTCCAGAAAATGATGATCCTGGAGGAGTGTTTGAATTTGCTTCATCTTCCAGAGGTCCCTATAGGATAAAGGTAAATATTCATATTTGAATTTGAAAAGAGCCATATCCTATATCAATACTGATCTTTTACATTCCATTTTTTAAAAAAAAAATAATTTTATTTTACAGGAAGGAGAATCTGTTGAACTCCAGATTGTCCGTTCCAGAGGAGCGCTTATGGAGCAATTTCTACTCTACACTATAGAGCCAAGAGACAGCAATGAGTTCTATGGAAATACAGGAGTCCTGGAGTTTAAACCTGGGGAAAGAGAAATTAAAATTACTTTGCTAACAAGGATGGATGCGATTCCAGAGGTAAAAAGAGGAGGGGAAAATTATTGATGTCTCTTTTAGACTAACAATAACCAATACTGTTTAATGGATCCTGTTGGGTTTGATCCTGAGCTGATTGATCTGATCCATGGCCTAACTGAGGCCCTTACTATTGCCTGAATTAAGAGGTGTTCACGGTCTTGGATTGTGCTTTGTGGCTTCTGTGTCCATAAATCCCAGAACATTTCCTCATCATTCTGACTCTAAGTTTGATTCCAGCTAGGCATGTCCTTTGGAGATGACTAAGTTATCTTCGAATTGAATCGAATACGTTCGAATCAAGGTTTGATATTGGACTTGAGCAATTTGAAATGCTACACAGTTAGTCCTCACTCAGTAATCACAATTGGGACTAGCAACTCCTTTGCTAAGTAACATAGTTGCTTACGGAAACATTATGACAATATGAAGGGTTTATAACCTCATTTCCCCCTGGTTGTTAAAAGAGCCAACTCAGTTGTGAGCATAATTTAAAAATTTACTTCCATACTTCCATCTTTTCTATTAATTCTGCTTCTCAAGTCAATTTGCAAAGCATACAAATATCAGTCAGGTGACTACAGAATGCTGTAATGATTGTAAATACAATTTCTAATTAATTTTGGTGGAGGAAAGATATCTAGTCTAGTCAGATTCTAGATTTCTGTGTTAGAGGTACCCTGCAGGACTCTATTCTCCCTCCACTCTACATGAAACTGCTGGACAATGTCATCTGTTGATACAGAGTCAATGATGATACTCGGTTATATATCTCCACCCTAGACCAAGCAGGTTTTCCTGTCAGGTTTCTTTCCCAGTGTCTGGAAATTATGACCTACTTATGGGATTGTAGGAATTTTCAATCCTAACATCTTAAAGTTATTTTCTATGACTGAAGAGAAATGTAATGTTTACTGATTTTAAAGCTGAGTGCATTTCAAAGTACATTCACATTTGTTCTGCTAGTCTTCCTTCAGTTAAATGTTCATGGACTTGCAGCCAGAAAATACCAATAGGAATTCACCAGGCTAGAAATCAGGAGACTGTGAATTCATCCTTCCTTGGGCATGAAAGCCAGTTGGGTGATCTTGGACCAGTCAGTCTCTCATAACCCAACCCATTTCACAGGATTATTGTGAGAAAATAGGAGGAGAAAGAAGTGCTAGGAATGTTTTCTACCTTAAGTTATTTATACAAATAATAAAGGCAAGCTATAAATAAAAATTAAATCTATGAAAGCATAAGTGTATAATTTTATTTTATCAACATTCTTGGTGGAATTAAAGTCAGCATTTATCCATTAAAACAGAAGGTCCATTAAATTAAAATAAAAAATTTACACAGGCATAAAATGGCAATTTTTTTTGCCTGTGTATTTTATGTACTGTATATTTGCAGTATAGTAGGAGTAAAATGGTGAATAAGATTTTATGCATGTGTAGAAGGATATAGAGCATGGACAAATTTTGTCCATTATATTGAAAATTCAAGACACTTAAAATCAAAGGTGTACTTAGTAGTATTGTCTAGATTATACAGTATACAAAAACAGGATATATCTTACTAATTGATCCATCACAGTATTTTTCTAATGTTCAGCATTATTATGGATGCTTTATCTTTTCCAAAATGTAACTTGATATCACTAAAATTGCACTAGGATTGTACTATGGCAGAAAATAAGTGGGAATGAATCATTAACCATTTGAACTGGATTGAAAAATATGTGAATGCTGCCTTTTAAAAAAAATAGAAGTAAAAGTTCACGTTAGTTTGTAGCACTCATTCAAATATCTATTCATTACTATGTTGCTAGTTCTATCCCTATTGTTCTGATTCAGTTTCCCTGTTCTAGTTAGATGAATTTTATTCAGTGCTCCTCAGTAGCCATGGTGACCTGCCAAGTAAGCTGGGAAATGCTACAAGAGTCAACATCACAATTCTAAAGAACAATGATCCACATGGAATTATTCAGTTTGTTGACAATATGATGACAGTAACAATAAATGAAAGTAAAGGAGAAGACTTCTATGCTGGTAATTCTCATTCTTTTTTTCATATAAAAATGTTTCCATAAATGAGAAAGTATGTGAGTATGCTTTTAATAAGTAAACAAAACTGTTAACCTTTCTACTATTTATTTACCGAAGTTCATTGTTTCTATTGTCTACCCGAGACACTAATATTACAAGAGTCATTGTGACCCAACTTTAATTATCATAATTAAACTACACTTTATGGATTTAATATTTGCGACTGAATCAGGAGTACAGATATCTGGAATCAGTCATGGGAAGAGTTGATTTGAATTACTATTTCTCCAACTAACCTTGGCATTCTCAATCAGCCTAAACTATTTTTACGTACTGTATTATGCTATGTTTTTTTTCCTTTCTGTATTATGTATGGTATGAATCCAATCACTGTGCTGTACTGGTAATACCTAAATTTATGCTTTGCATAATATGTGAACCCAATCATGTGGCTAACAAATCATAGTCATAGCATTTAAACTATTAAACTCACTATTCAGCTCTACAATACTGACATCCAAAGTACTTTTTAATGTTCATTTTGTAGACAAAATAGTAATTTGGACATTTGTTCATTGTTTCTAATGTAAATTTACCTATGTAATATTATAACATTAAAAATCAAACCTCATTTATATTAGTTTTATATTAAGTTTTTCTTACCTGTCTTGGATGTTATCTGATGAAGATATGTGTATGCTTGTGTTTCAAAGCTGTTTTTAAAATAATAAGAAATCAAGGAACCTTTGGGAGTGTGAGTGTATCCTGGGCAACAGACTCAATTTCTACGAAAGATATTTTTCCAGATCGAGGAACAATTTTTTTTGGAAATGAGGAATTTTCAAAAGATATCACCATTTATTCAGTCCCTGATGAGGTAGTCATTTTTACAGTAATTGTTATTTGTAGAAGAGGGGCAAATAAATTTATAATAGAGGAAGATGATGGTAATAATTCCAAGAGGAATGACAATAAACTACTGAATATTCTCTAAAGTTGTGTGAAAGGTCAAAAAAGGTATACCTGCATTCTTGAAGTCCTTTTAGCTGATTGGCTGAAAACACTGAAATGGAATTAAAAAAACAATGTATGCTTTAGACCAGATTTAAATTATGTCTAATAGCTATATAAAATGTTTTATCAATCATAAGATTTAAATGTCATTACTATTACTATGGAAGTAGTCAATTAATGATTAGCATCTTGGGGTTAATTTAATACTATTAATACATAAATTTTGTGGTTTTTTTTCCCCTAAGATACCTGAAGAAATGGAAGTATTCATAATTAGTCTTTTCAATACTACAGGCGGTGCTAGCCTAGGAAATATAACCACAGCAACATTGCAGATCACCAAAAATGATTGTCCAATTTACTTTGCAGGTTAGTGTCATTCTACTAGCTTATGTTTAAATACAACAATAGTAATGCTTATAGGAAGCTCTTGAGCCAAGAACATTTACAATAGAACTATATGAGTTATGATGAACATTTTGTTCCACACACCAATGGTTAGGAACATTAATCATAGTTTATTTACTTCTTACCACTCTCACCTCTTTTTTTACTTTAAAAATCTGTTTTTGCCTTGATAGTAGGAGTGAATATCTGTGACTTTTAGGTATTATGATTTACATTTTTTTCATGTGTGTGCCCCTGAGTTTATTATAGATTCCTGATGACAGTCTGAATGAATCACTGTAGTTTTCTGGACAAGATTTTTGGAACTGGTTTGCCATTATCACACAGATGGCTTCATGTCAATTTCTCAGTGCCTTTAACCATTCCATCAGACTTCCCCTCCTACAATTTTTACATGCCTCAATCAACATGGCCAATAATAATGTTTAGGAGGCATGGTTCTGCAACATTGTCAAGATCATCAATTTGGGGTTAGCTTTTAGATGGGGTACAAAATCAAATGAGCAAGCTAAAAAATCACAGAAGCAAAGTGGATTTTTAACTATGATTGACATAATCTATGCTTTAATGTGATATCACAAGCTAGGCATTGAAATTCATGTAACAATTATTTAATATAAATTTTTGAAAAACAATGTATAAATATTGATGTTTTGAATACTTTCACACGTAATGTCTTAACTATATTTCAGATCCTGCTATTCTAAAGGTTCACGAAGGTGGCATTGCGGAATTTGTAGTTGTAAGAAATGACTCTGGTGCCGATGTTGTTTCTGTTTTATATGCCACTATCGATGGAAATGCCAGTGCTGAAGATTTCATGTCTTGTGAAAAAAATGGAGTGCTTTGGTTTGATATTGGAATAAAAGAACAGAATATAACTATATTTATCCATGATGATGATATTCCTGAATCAGATGAGGATTTTTATATAATTCTCTTCAATTCTACAGGTTCAAATTATTATTCAACCTATATAAACTAAACAACTGTTGTTTCTTTAGATTGTTTTCTGCCCCACTTTTGATATTATAAGCAGTTAAGGATGCTTGGACAATACCTTTTGACATTCTTCATACCAAAGTGTAGTATTTTTAAAGCCTGTATTATATAGTCAAGTTATTCTCCAGAGCAACTGAAGACAGGACTAGAAGCAATGGATGGAAACTAATCAACAGAACCAGTGGAAACCAGTGGAACAACAGAGAGAAAGCAGAATTGCTTAACTCATTCTTTGCATCCGTCTTCACGCAAAAAGAAATTATAGCTCAACCCACCAAAAACATAACTGTAAAAGACAGACCAGAAATAAAAGTTAAAATAAGCAAAAAATAAGCAAAAAAATAAGCTGGCAGAGGTCATCTCAGAACCACTGCACCACTGCAATCACTGCACTGAAATAAGATTGGTTTGGCATGATCACAAACCTGTGCTGACTGCTAGTTATTACTTTACTTGTTTCTAGATGTTGGCAGATCTGTTTTTTTATTATCTTTTCCAGTATCTTCCCGGGTATTGATGTTAGACTGATTGGGCTATAGTTTCCTGGGTCTGGTTTCCTCCCCCCCCCCTTTTTTTGAAGATGGGAATCACATCAGTTCTCTGGTAGTTCCCCGGTGCGCCAGGATTTTTGAAGATATGGTTCAGTGGTTCTGAGATGACCTCTGCCAGCTCCTTTAAAACTCTGGGATGTAATCCATCAGGCCCCGGTGATTTGTTTTCATCAAGATCAGACAGGTTGGGGTTGTTTTTTCAGATCTTAAATTTTTCACTCTCTTTCCCCCCTTTCCTTTCTTTTCCCCACATAGAAATACTTGGTCATTGAAGATGCTTCTTCTTTGTCCTGCCCTTCTTGTTCTACAGTCATTTCTTGTTGTTTCTCATAGTTCAGGATCTCCATTTCTAAAAATTGAAATACGAAGCCAAAAGAACCTCTTCCTTCTTGTGCATCTTCTTTCTGTTTTTTAAGTTCCATTCTCAATTCTTCCAAGAGTGATACCATTTTAAAAACTTTTAAACAACTACCTGATTAATTTTAGTCCTCTAGATCCAATAGCCAAAAATCCAAAAATCACCAAGTAATCCAAATAATCCAAAGCTGTTTCTTCTTGCTTCTTTTTTCCAGTTTCTCTTCCTGGGGCTCTCTTATCTTGTTGCAAAGTTTCAGTTAAAATGTATCTTTTAGGAATCTTGTTAAAGTTTCACTGTTAATTCCTTTCACTTCCAGGTGGTCTCCTCCCTTTTTCCAGATCCCACCCTTTTGTTTTTTCCCCTTCTTTTAAAAGTTTTTGAGAATCTAGAAATCTTTATTATCCCTTTGACATTTTATTTTCAGCTTAAATACCTGTTAGTGTCAAAGTGGATTTTACTGATTTCTTGCTTAAATCTCTTAGTTGTCAAGATAGGGAAGAAAAGAAAAAAAACAAATCCTTTCCCTTCCCTTTCTCATTCGCAGCTTCAAAGTGTTGTTCTTTATAATTCAAATTCCAGGGTGCCTTGTATTGTTGTTTTTCCAGTTCGACCCAATCAGCCCAAAACTTTCTCTTCTTATCTTCCTCCTACACATTCTTTTCCGGTCGAGTTCTTCTTTGAGGTGGCCATTTCTGACCACCGCTGCAACCGCCTTTGGGAAAGGGAGGAATGGCCAGCTGGGGAGGAGAGATGTGGCTCTCCTCAACCCTGCTGGCAGACTCCCCCCTCTTCAGCACCTCTACGGGGTGGCTTAGTCCTGAAACCAGCCAGCTCGGGGCACTCCAGCGGGGAGCACAGATCGAAACTGCACACAATCGCAGATTTCGGTCTGTCACTGAAGAAGTTCAAACCGGATCTCCATAATCACTTTTCTTCATAGTCTAAAGGAGAAGATTGGCTTTTGAACCTGTATTTGGAATATTTGTGGAGATATGTTTTTTCCAGTTACAATTCTATTTGTTTGTTTATTTATCAACAAAACCATTGTTTTTTTTTAGGAGACACAGTTATTTACAAACCTAGAATGGCAAGAGTTATAATTGAAGCAAATGATGATCCAAATGGCATTTTTTTAATTGATTCTACAGGCAAAGCAGTGGAAGAAGGCAAAACCAATGACTTTTTGTAAGTAGCTTTCAAGTAAATATCCTTTGCCAATTTCACTAAGTAGCTTGAATCATACTTTCAGTGTGACTTACTTTTTATGATAGTTTTTACAGCATGCAAATAGTGTCATAAACAATTTTCATGTCCACAGTTAACTAAATGAAGAGTTTTAAACATTCAGAAGGCAAAATTAAAAATGCAACTGTAGCTGGAATCTTTGCAACCATTACCCATTTTTGGAAGTAGATATGGCTATAACGTTTTGCCATTTATTTTGAATGACAAGATTGCACAGCCTACAGCTTCTGGGCCCCACAAAAACTTGGGGGGTTCCAAATATCCTCAAAATGTTGCAATCAAATTGTAATTTTTTACAATAGCATAGTGGGCAATTATTAAATATATGAGGAATCTAATTCATTATCAAAATGATATTTAATTAATTTTCTGACAAGTAAAACAGAAAAGAATACTAAAAAATTAGGGTGCAAGAAATTATGATACAAAATGTAATCAACAAAATGGGCATGGGAATTGCGACATGTCAAGTTGCATTATTACATGCTAAATCTGGGCAAAAGTTGAGCAATTTATTGTTTTTCCCTTCTGAAATCAGTTTCTCTGCTGTCTTAAGAATAATGTGCTTTCAGATATTATTATTATGATAAGCACAAAAATGTGAAATCACAGCTGCCAGTTCATTAATTGATGTTGGCCATCATATGCATTGAGTTCATTCCAAGAACTTAGGATGTCATAATGTATTATGATACAAACTCAATGTTAACCGCACCAAACTTGATTGCAGGAAATATGACTTCAGCAATAGAGTGGTCAATGTCTGGAATACTCTACCCGACTCTGTAGTTTCTTCCCCAAACCCCAAAAACTTTAACCTTAGACTGTCTACTATTGACCTCACCCCTTTCCTAAGAGGTCTGTAGGGGGCGTGCATAAGCGCACCAACGTGCCTACCGTCCCTGTCCTATTGTTTCTCTTATTCTTCTTTTATTTTTCTTATATGTACCCATTTCATGTATTCACAACTATGTATACACTTATACTTATTATCTTGTAAACAATTGGCAAATCAAATAAATAAATAAAATAAAATAAATAGTATAATATACATGCAGATCCAAGCAGAGTGCCTTTGGTAAGGTAGAAATTTTGTCAATATGTAGATTTTGAAAGTGCTGCCAGTGCACAAATAACAGTTTCTCTTTAAGGGATTTGAGTAGTTCAGAAATATGACATATCTAAACAAACAAACAAATAAATAAGAAAATACATTTTCAGGTTTCAGGTTTTGATACTATGTGATTTGTCCAAGTTTTTGTCTTCTACGGTATTCTCTTGTATTTTCATATCAATTACCCACAAATTTTCAACTATAGCTAAATCTGATGTGTTACAATCCAAGAGTCTATCAGTTTGTATTTGGAATTTCTACAATATTTTAACCTGCTCATTTTCAATGAGTTTTTCAACTCTGTGTCCCCACCAATTCTTAATTACCAGCTTGTGATAATTTTTACCAATGAGTAATTATTCTAGTGAATAATATTGCTCACAGTGTCAGTGATTATAATTAGTTTTGCATGAACTGAGCATACAGAGTAACTACTATTTCTTCTGCTTCTTTGCACAATCCGTACTTTTCATTATTTGATGGTTTTTCAACTGTGGACTTGATTGTATTAGTAATTACTATTATTGCCATAATAGTACTATTTTTAATGATGCTTTTTTGTTTCATTAAATCTTCACACTGAGCTCCTGTCTTTGTGAAAACTCAAGGGAGATAAATATATATTCTTAATTTGCATTCCATTGAAGAGGTCCTTTAACATCGGGAATATCACAAATGTTCATAGTGTTCTTTATTGCCCTCTAAAATATATATTTTAGATGTATCATGTGGAGAATTGAAAAATATAAGTCTGAAATAGTTTTCTTTGTTCTACCATACAGGATCCTGAGGCACAGAGGCTACTTTGGTAATGTTTCTTTGGCCTGGCAGCTATTTGGCAATAATTCTGCTTTAGATCCAGGACAAGAATTCTATGAAGTGTCTGGAACCGTATGGTTCATAGAGGGTGAACAGTCACAGCCTATAACTCTTCATGCTATTCCTGATAAAATTCCAGAATTCAGTGAAATTTATACCTTAAAACTTGTGAATGCTTCAGGTACACTTACATATATGGTGATCTATTTAATGTGCCACTTCCTGCTATAATTGTATATGGTTTAAAAACATAAAATACATTTAACACATATTACCTAAGAAAAGATATACCATGAGCCTTAGAACATACTTTCTGGTGTGGTTGCTTCATCGTGAAGACTCATCTTGAAGACCCACTTGGCTTGGCTTTTTGATATGTTGCAGAAAAGGAGCCTCAGGGGACATGGTTTTATAAGTGGGGGCTCAAAATAAGGAAGCCTTTTTGTGGATTCCTTTTTGGCTAGCATGGAGTGGTTGGGCATAATGTATTAGGGTCATACAGTCCCAATGCTAACAAGGACTGGAGCCAGAAAAAGTTTCATATGTAATAGCTCCCTATTTAATCATATTGTTCACTGAGTGGTCTTTGACCAGCTACCATGGCTGGTCTTTCAGACTTGCTTACCTCTAAAGATACTGTAAAGATAACAATGGGAAAAAGAAGAAGCACACAATCAGTAGCACTGATTAAATAAGTAGATAAATAAATAAGTTGATAAGATTGTGTGTATGAGTTATAAAATAATTTATTGGCTTTCTTTTAGGTGGGATTCCTGGTGGCCAGTTATCCGAAACCAACCTTTCTGTGACTGTGATGATCCCAATGAATGATGATCCCTATGGAGTGTTCATCTTAGATCCTCAGAGCCAAGACAGAGAGGTAGCAGAAGACATTCAGTCTGAGGATGACACTTCTTGCATTACCAGTTTTACAGTATGGAGGCATCAGGGAACTTTTGGAACTGTCAGGATTGGCTGGGAAATATTATCTAGCACTTTCAGAGAAGGATTACCTCTAATGATCGACTTCTTATTGATTGGAAAGTTTACAGATTCAGTAAAGTCAAAGCCTCACATGCGACGGCATCACACTGGAACAGATGCTTTATATTTTAGTGGTGAAGAAGATGCATATGGGATAATTGAGCCAGAGGTCCATGTTAGTAAAAACAGTATACTTAATGTCTTTACATTTTCAGCATGGGTACTTCCTAGTCCCAACAATGATGGATTTATAATAACAAAGGATAATAGTAATGGATTAATATATTATGGAGTAAAAATAGGCACAAACGAATCCCATCTTTCTATAGGGTTCTATTACACACCATTGCAGTCTAATAAGACATATATAGCTAAGATCACAATTATGAAATACTTGGAGGAAAATATTTGGATTCACCTTCTGATTATACTCAATAATGGCACTCTTGAGTTTTTCATTGATGGAAAACCTGTTCCTGGGGGCATTAAGAGTCTCAAAGGAAAAGCAATTGCTGATGGTAAGCAATGTGTTAATTAATATTATTGGTTTGTTGCACAATCAGACAGAAGTTTAAAACTGGATTTGGCATTTTTTGTCCAACTGTTGAGTCCTTCCCAAGGACTTGCCAGATGCTGTTATTAAATACTAATTAAATATTAAATACTATTAAGGATATTGTTGCATAATGTAAACTGTTTTAATGTAAGTGAAGTGGCCTTTTGCAATTGACAGGTGGGTATTTCATCAATGCCAATGGTTTGAAATAATGCTTCAGATATTTTGTATTCACTATTGGAGCTCTCTCTGTTTTATTTTGTCACAGTGGTTCTACTTCTGTTATTTTAGGTACACAACAATATGAAATGATAGCTGCTAATTCCTTGGTTGGATTTAGCCTTCATACTTATCAAGTTCTTTCCCAAAACCTAAGATATTGTAATCTATCAGCATAGTATTGTTTTGGTTACACTGAACTTGATTATTACATAAAGATTAATACAAGCATTTAATTTTAATTACAATGAAGTTCTGTTTTAGATAAAGAAATTCAAACGAGTGATTATGTACAGTATTAACCAATTTAATTTTGTAAAACTTAAAAGTTGGAGCATTAAAAACAATATTTGTGGGTCTATTTTCCCTAGGACCAGGAATAATGAAAGTTGGTGCTGGAATAAATGGCAGCAGCAGGTATAAAGGAATGATGCAAGATGTGAGATTTTATGAATGTAAATTAACAAAGGAAGAGATCAGTGAACTTCACGCTATGCCGGCAAGGTTTGATTTGTACCCAATCTCTGGATACTTAGAATATCGACAAGGAGAAAGGAATAAATCATTCATTGTTTCTGCCAAAGATGACAAAGAAGAGGAAGGAGAGGAGCTGTTCATTCTAAAGCTTATTTCAGTTTATGGAGGAGCACAAATTTCACAAGAAAACACAATTGCAACTTTAAGAATCCAGAAAAGTGATAATGCCAATGGGTTATTTGGTTTCACAGGAGCATGTATTCCAGAGGTAGGAAAACCTTATCAATGTGATTCATGAAAATTCTTAATTCAAGTCTAAGCAGTATACATACTAGATAAATGTAATTTTCATTTAGAGATTGCATCTTTTATTTATTTTTTATTTATTTATTTATTTGATTTGTCAATTGTTTACAAGATAATAAGTATAAGTGTATACATAGTTGTGAATACATGAGATGGGTACATATAAGAAAAATAAAAGAATAGAGAAACAATAGGACAGGGATGGTAGGCACGTTGGTGCGCTTATGCACGCCCCCTACAGACCTCTTAGGAAAGGGGTGAGGTCAATGGTAGACAGTTTAAGGTTAAAGTTTTTGGGGTTTGGGGAAGAGACTACAGAGTCTTTCATCACAATAGTGATGAAAAAGTAACTGCAATCAATTTGTGCATTTATGACCTGCACAGATCAATAAAGGAAAGCCGAAGTAAAATCATAAACACAATTGTGGCTTCACTTAGTGGTGCTTTGCTTAATAACTGAATTGCCAGTCTCAGTTGTGTTGCTAAACTATACTCATTTTCTTTTGGACCTCAGCCTATGGAGATCAGCCAAAGCAATATGGAGATAATGATACTGACCTTGTAATCTTGATAGCACATTGCTATCAAAATGCAGTCCTCATGTTGCTTAATCTTGTTAGTTGAAAAGTCTTCCTACTATATGCAACACATAATCCTGGGGAATTATTGGAATTGGTTTAGCAGTAATCTGGGGAAGTGTTAGCTGGAAGTCGGCTTATAAGCAGGTAGTTATAAAGCAAATAACACGATGGGAAATTGGAAAAGGAATGAAATTAAGATACAGGATTTAACAGGGGCAAACAATAGATGCAAGGTTTTTTTCTATTGAGGAAAGTAGTATTTTTTTTCTTACAGTAGTTCACAGATGATTATTATGCAAACTCTGACTTTAAAAAGAGGTGCCTCCTTTTCTTATTTTCCTTCATTTTTTCCCCTTTTGTTTCATATATTTTATATGATAATCTTGCTAATGAGAAATGTCTCCCCGTTAATTATTGCTAAAGTGCTCAGGGAGCTTTTAGAGTTGATGAATGGGGCAAAATAACTATTGAACAAGTGAACATTTGTGTGTAATGGGATTTCCCCCCCCCAAAAAATGATTTTATGCATTTAAAAGCTGAAACTTGTTTTTATTGTAATTTATCAATGTGACTTAATATTTCATTTCCAATCAAACCTCAAAATTTTCAAATCTTCTATTTATCATAATGTTTATTGCAATTCTTATTGTTCATAGGTCTCTAATGAAGGTTCTACTGTATCTTGTGTAGTGGAACGCACCAGAGGGGCCTTGGATTCTGTTTTTGTGTATTACACTATCTCTCAGATTGATTCTTATGGCGTTAATTATACTGTTACTGACTTTGCTAACAGGAGTGGGATAGTAACATTCCTTCCTTTCCAGAGATCAGAGGTAAATCATACTTTCCTCTTCAATTTGATAATATAATTGAATATAATATAATATAATTCTGCTTTGAAATGTGGATAATATATTTTGCTAATCTATAGTCAATTTTGTTGTGTATGGGAACAATCCTTTTTGTTACTACTGATGTATTTTCAGGAATGTAAATTAATTTAGGTATATTTCTGGTTTTAACTGAAGGTTCATTGAACTAGTTACTGATGTATCTAATTTGTAGTTATTTTTATTTATTTACAATTAAATGAATGATGAATAACAATTAGAATGGACATGCTATAAAATCTTTTCAAAGAACAGAAAGTATTAGACTTTCATCATATTAGCACTAAACTATGTGTATTCTTTTTAATTAAATAATTGTGATATTTAGGGAAGTATCTTTTGACTACTGTATATCTTCTATGATACTAAACTTTCATCTAAAAATAGCTTGCCTGATATCCATTTTAATGTTCTTTTATTAATATACAAATGTCCTTAATTTTCCCCAAGCCTTTTAAAATCACAATAGAGATTTTAACCATATTTTGCATGCTTTATTTTTTCTGTTTATATTTCTTTTAAGTATTCCTAAATTTGAATGATATTTAATGTTGTATTTAATAGTTTTGTTCATTTTTAAATTTCTTCTTTATCACCTTTTAAAACAATGCTTTATTTGCATTAGTTTTTAAGTAATTGAGTGTTTACATGAGCTCTTGACTCCATTAGAAAAACGTTGTCAGCCTTCAAGATGTTTTCTACTTTTCTATTGCTTTCTACTGCTTTGCATCTGATGTATGCCATGATGTATCTGATGTATCTGATGGCTGCCATGAGTAACAGGGGGAGGAGAGGTTGCATCTTGTGGGAAGAGAGCTGGAGGTGTTACATTCTTGTCTTGTATAAATGAGGAGTTGTGGGGGGAGTATAAATTCCTGTTCTTAAGTTTCTATTTCCTTGCCTAGCTTTCTTTCCTTTGCGCAGCTGCGAAGTTTTATCAAAATATGTCAAGGTCAACGGACAGAGGCCTCATCACCACCTGAAGATGCCCACATGATCATATTCAGAACTTTTAATTGGAAGAGTCTTTTGGACTTTGGGGGGTGGGAACAATTCCATCCCTTTGTATATGTGATCTGCGCGCCAAATCCCTTAGATTCAGAATTCTACCTGTAGCTTCCACTTTGAATTTCAGTAAAAGAAAAAACTTTGCTCTAATCTATTGAGTCTGAGTATTTCTTTCTTGGATTTTTGAATGGAGCACAGACTGACATTATTCTGAATCTCCTCACCAGCCCACCTGGAGAAAATATCCAGTTTTCTTCCGAGGGGGTTTTACATCATGTCATCTCCAGCTAGTGAAGAAGAGGACCTTGGAGCTGTGGGGGGGCAATCGTTACTGATACCGGAGGTGCCAGCAGCTGACTTGCTAGCCGACCTTACCCTGGAGGAAATTCCAGCTGAGAGACCCAGATGGTCATTCGGTGTTGGCTGGAAGGATCCTGATGACCCCCCCTCCTGGAATCACCACGACCCGAAGGCGTGGGAGAGATGGGCCATGGCTAGAGAAGGAAAAGAGAGAATTGATGCTGGATCAAGCCAGGCAGCTCCTGAATGAAGCCTTTGGTCAGCCTCACATCGCTCCAAGGTATGAGGGGGAAGGGGGAGCAACTTCAGCCAGAGACAGCCAGGCTGCCCCCACCCCCATAGCCCAGCCAGTGCCAGCGCAACAGCCGGCTGCAGCCCCAGAGCCCCCAGCGGGAGGTGTGATCCCTAGAAGATGCATAGCTCCGAAGCTGCCTCCGTTAGAAGTGAAATTTGGAGGAAATCCCAAAGACTTGGGTTTCTTCCTAGCACAAGTCTGGAGCTATATGGAGGAGTACAGGCGGGAGTTCACCTCTGAAGCAGCCAAAGTGAGATGTGTGACCAGGGCCCTGGAGGGATTAGCTGCAGAGTGGATGGTGACTTTGCATAATGACAACTCCCCCCAACTGCGGAATTACAACGTATTCATGACTGCGTTGCGGGCAAGATTTGAGGACCCACTGGCGGAGAGAAAGGCCAGGATCAGGATGAAGACCATAAATCAAGGGAGGAGGTCAGTGGCTGACTACACCCAAGAGTTTAGACAGCTGGCGTACCATATCTGAGGCTGGTCCCAGGGAGCCCTGATAGAAGCCTATAAAGATGGTCTAAATGAAGACGTATACCAGATGTGTATCTCCAGAAGGGATCCTAATGATTTGCAACTGTGGTATTTGCTGGCAGAAGAAGTGGAGATAGATTTGACCCGAAGCAGACACAGGGGGGGGGGTTCCGGGTGGAACAAGCCGTCCCCCCCATGCTTCCAAGAGGCCCCTAAACCTCTGAGAGGAGGAGTGATGGCAAGACCCAGATCCACTGCCTGCTTTCGATGTGGAAAGGAGGGCCACCGGATTGCAGACTGCAGGGTCAAATTGGATCCAAAGGGGACGCAGAGAGGAGGGAGGAAACTGAAAACCCCCCAGCCAAGCCTCGTGAAACGGCACTAAAGACGGGAGAGGTTGTAGAGGTTGCCCCCCCAGCAAGGGAGGAGCTGGGACCTCCGACCCTCCTGGAAGAGAGTGATTCCGACTCGGAAGATGATTTCCTGGACTAACGTCCTTTTTCTAGGGGGGCCGAATGTCAGCCTTCAAGATCTTTTCTACTTTTCTATTGCTTTCTACTGCTTTGCATCTTTCGGCTGCCATGAGTAATGGGGGGAGGAGGGGTTGCATCTTGTGGGAAGAGAGCTGGAGGTGTTACATTCTTGTCTTGTATAAATGAGGAGTTGGTGGTGTATAAATTCCTGTTCTTAAGTTTCTATTTCCTTGCCTAGCTTTCTTTCCTTTGCGCAGCTGCGAAGTTTTATCAAAATATGTCAAGGTCAATGGACAGAGACCTCATCACCACCTGAAGATGCCCACATGATCATATTCAGAACTTTTAATTGAAAGAGTCTTTTGGACTTTGGGGGTGGGAACAATTCCATCCCTTTGTATATGTGATCTGCGTGCCAAATCCCTTAGATTCAGAATTCTACCTGTAGCTTCCACTTTGAATTTCAGTAAAAGAAAAAACTTTGCTCTAATCTATGGAGTCTGAGTATTTCTTTCTTTGATTTTGAATGGAGCACAGACTGACAGTTAGGTTAATATACCTTTAAAATAGGTTGTAATATATTCTTCTGAGATTGGAGTTTCACGTATTCAACAATGTTTATGTAAAATTTCTCACACTTTTGGATTTGCTTTTTTTAAATATAATGACAATACTTATATTTAATTTGGGTTTCTGTGTCTTTATCCCATCACTTCCTACCCCCAGGTTCTGAATTTGCATGTGCTTGATGATGATATACCTGAACTAAAAGAATATTTCCAGGTGACATTAGTATCTGCAGTTACCGGAGATGGAAAAACAGGTTCAACCCCAACCAGTGGAGCTAGCATAGATCCAGAAAAGGAAACTACTTACATCACTGTCAAAGCTAGTGATCATCCCTATGGTAATAATTATAGGAATTGTTTCACACCTCAAATTTCATACTTAGTTTGTACAGATTATTGTATAATTATTCTCATATAGCATTCAAGATGTAGACAGTTGGTATATGCTATAAATAGTTTTCTGGTCTGCAATGTAATGCTACATTCATGTGTTAATATAAGACTTTTGAATTATTTAGCATTCTTCATCCAATGCTGTATGTTACTAAGAGTAAAACACCTGCCTAACTCTCACAGCATTTCAGATAGAAGACTAAAAATACTTAACGTAGAAACCTTGTAAAATTACAGCCATTGTTTTACTAGCTATGCATCCTACTGTGTTTAATAAAACAGGCATAATGTTGTACTATCTAGCAAAACTTTTCCTAAACCACGATAATTTTAAATTATCTATTATATTTAGTCATATATGGTTGTGTCCCAACAAAATCAGTGACAGGATGTAAGAATTTTTTTTAAAAAGCTGATTAAATATATCAGGAATCATTCTTTGCTGATTAAAGTACATTGTCTCCTCACCCTATCCCCAAAACAAATATATGTCAGACACAGATTTAACAGTTAAAAGGATAGTGATGAGTTGACTGTGGTGAGTTGACTGCAGCAAGTTGTTTCATTCTGGGATGTAACTTCCCATGGCTTGTCTCCTGTGGCATATATACAGTATAATGTATCATTTATTATTGTTTTGCTGTTTGAATAGTTGCTTTATATCATTATAGATAGATAGATAGATATTGTAGATAGATAGATAGATATATTTAATTAATTGCTGTAAATAATTATTTAAATAATTTATACAGTTCATCATCTAAGAATCAGCAGACATTCTACATAGTGCCTGCTTTTCCATGTTTTCTCTTTTCAAGAGAAAAAATAGTTATCTTGAAAAGAGAAAACACGGAAAAGCAGACACTGTGTAGAACGTCTGCTAATTCTTACACAATGAATTGTACAATTATTTCTATTAACCTATGCCAACCTGAGAAAGCCAGTAACCTTTTTTGCTGGAATTTATTATCCAATTGCAAAATTGCAAAGCTTAATATGTATTCCCATATCTGTATGCAAATTCAGTGGAAAATGTAGCCCTTTCCAAATGGACATGGATCCTTATATATTCAATTTATATATCAGAGACAAATGTATTTTTATTAATAAATGCTTTTTGCTTGCACTTAAGGCTAAATAATACAATATATATATATATATTTCATCTGTCAGGCTTGTTGCAGTTCTCTGTTGGGCAGCCTCCATCAGACACTGATGAAATCATTCTTTCAGCCACGACAGCACCCCACATTACTGTCAAGGAAGAAGTAGGACAAGTCAGCTTGCTTGTTGTTCGAGCACAAGGTTTACTTGGGACAATTGTGGCAAAATATAGAACAGTTGCACTAACAGCATTCAGCCCACAAGATTATCAGGTATATGAGCAGCTCTCTAAAAGGGTTGGTTGAGGCCAGTTAGCTTCATCTGTATGAGTTTATAATTTAAATAGTATGTCCAATGTGTACTTACAGTATCAGTGTTTCAGATTAAAGGGAATAGTTGTGATTGCTGCTAGTATACTGCTGTCTTTGCTACCTATGGGATTCTTGCCTCAGCATCTACATTTCATGGTTGGATTGGCCATAGAGTTCCTAAGGCCTTTGGTGCCGGCGGTTTTTAATTTGACACCCTTTGAGGTTAAGTCCAAAGTGGCTTAGAGGTTTGTGGCCTCCATGGCAACTATGGACCTGTCCCAAGTAATTGATGGCTTGACATATGGTGGCCTCATGTGGATCTTTTAATAGATTTTTTTCCCTGCAGGGAATTACAGGGACCTTGGAATTTCTGCCAGGAGAAAGATACAAGCACATTCTTGTCAACATTACAGATAATTCTATCCCTGAGCTAGAAAAGACTTTCAAAGTAGAATTGCTGAATCCAGATGGGGCAGGTAAAGGCTCATGGAATAATAATAACTCTTTGGGGACTGAAATTGATTTATATTTAATTCATTCTGGCAAAATTCTTTTCAAAAATAACTTTAATTTCCTTTTTAAAAAGCATTAATTTTTTAATTTTCTTTTGAAAATAATTAGCTGCATATCTTCACTGTTTTAAACAAAATATTCCACATAAAGTAGGTACTCTATAGTATATGTTGTCAGATAACATGATAGTAAAGTATGTGTCAAAACCCTCATTTTATCTGATACGTGTTTATCTGAAGCTGCTCCAAAACTTGAAATAACAAGTATTCAACAGTTTGTGGAAACTCCAGAACCTAAACCAGTTCCTATAGCATCCTACCTCTAATGCTACAAAAATATTATTGCACAGGAACTTCTTTTGTTGCATGTATTCTTGGCGTTTAAAAAATCTAACTTGGTTAAAAAGTCAGCTGAGACACCCACAGGAAATTCCTGGGCTATACAGACTAGACTGTGAAGTAAAAAAGCAAGAAGATGAAAGCAATGTGAAAGCACTTCTGCTTTGTTGTGAAGAAAACTGCATGGAGTTAAGCTGAAATTGAGAAAGTCTATTCTGTAAATAAATAAATACCCCAATTTGCTTTAGCATTATTTCCAGAATTTACTAATTCGGAGATTATAGATTCTGCCTTTTCCAATTTCTTTGCTTTTTCACTTCTCAAGTATTTGTCACTCTTAGTTAAAGATAGTTGATACGGGTAGCTAATGGAAAAAGTATCATCTTTGGCTTTTAGTAACTTTCCTTAAGGTTTCAAAAATATTTTAATTTTTTTCAAGTTTATCTTCTTTGTTTGCTTTTTTCTAAATATTTTGAAATGCTATCTATCATCTGCATTATATATGTGTATTGTGTATCTTTGTCTTTTTAAAGTTTCTGAATTCTTAAGTGGTGGTAGTGGTAGTGGTGATGGTGATTTCTACTTCCTTCCTCCTGTCCATCAATATGGTAAGCAGTGATTTTTGGAGTTATCCCCTTTCTAAGAAGTATGGTTCACTGTTTTAAAACAGTGTTTTTTAAATTTGACAACTTTTAAGATGTGCAGATATCAACTCCCACATTCTGGATGCAGAATGCTGGGAGTGAAGTCAGCACATGCTAAATACTGCTTTAAAAGAAACTGTACAGTAATGTACAATCATACTTTAATAAGAACTTAGCCTTTTCCCCCCCTTCTTATTCAAAGCTGGCAGACTGTTTATTTTCAAAGTATATTACCAGATTTCTTTCCTGGAGACACTCCGAAGACACTTTTCGGATCCTCTCTTACCCCTGACATAGAAAGACAGCTCTCATGCCAACATGTCACATTTCTGTCATGATAATTTATATATAAAATAGTTTTAAAAACTTCTCTGTTCCCTAGTTCTTCCCAAACCCAGAAAAGGTAGGGAAACTTGCTGAATGAATTAACTGAGTTGGAAAAAGGGTATCCTCTGAAATACTTCTGTTTAGTATCTTCCAATCTCTGGAAGATTTTCAGTGTTAGATAAATGCCGTGGGAAGACAGTGGTAGAAAAGCTGCCTTTTCTAAATATTTTTTGTCTAAATCTACCTGTGTGTTTAGGGTTGCAAACCTTTTGGAAAAATTAAGTAACCATACTTCTGTTTCAGTTCTGTTGCATTAATTTTTGATATTAACCTTTGGGTATTATACTTGATCCAATTGTTAGAATTAATGATATATATATATGGGGTATTCAGCTTTGTTCAGGTATTTTTCCACGTCATTATAGTTGTGCTTTTAAAGTTGTAGCGACGTTTCGGCAGAATCTCATCTGCCATCATCAGGCTTCTGTATTGTGTTGATGATCTGCCTGATGATGGCAGATGAGATTCTGCCGAAACGTCGCTACAACTTTAAAAGCACAACTATAATGACGTAGGAAAATACCTGAACAAAGCTGAATACCATACATATAAATACCTGCGAAAACTTAAGAAAACACACACACACACACACACACACACACACACACACACACATATATATTTGTTCTTGATGTCAACAGGCAATCTGGGAATAGCATCTCATATCCTAGTGACTATTGAAGCCTCTGATGATGCACATGGGGTCTTTGAGTTCGATGCTGAATCCCTCTCTCTCAGTGGAATGGAACCTGAAGATGGAAGAGGAATCGTCATATTTCAGGTCTACAGATGTCCTATATACTACTCTTGAGTTTGCATACTTATAGAAATCCTCCATGGCTATATTCTTTTTTTCAAAGATAGGGTTTCTTTTGCTGATAACTATAGTTGTCATGATCTCTATCCCCCTCACTGATACTCCAGTTCAGGGTCAAGATGCAAGACTGACAGGATAATTTTATACAAAGGTCATGAGACAGGGGATTATGACTGTATGGCAGAAATGTTATAAAAACTGCTGAGTGCTTAGAAATTTTGTCTCAAATTCATTTTGCTAATTAAAATTGTGAGGATGCATCTGTGTAATATGTAAAGTGGCACAGGAACCTTTTTCTAGCTAAGTGATTTAGTTCTTTGTCTTACATGATATAATAATAATGATGTATTGCTTTGCTTTTCAGATTATTAGATATCATGGTGCGTTGTCTCAGGTTACATTATATTGGTTCATAGTGCCAAATGATACTGAAGATGTGACTGCAACAAGTGGCAACATAACATTCCACACAGAGCAAAGAAAAGCAAATTTAACTGTAAATATTTTGCCTGATGAAATTCCAGAACTAGACAGGACACTTTCACTTTATATCATTAATGTTACACATGGGCAGCTTGGAGTTCACACAAATGCTACATTGACTATTCTTGCAAATGATGACCCATATGGATTATTGATTTTCTCTGGAAAAAACAGGCCAATTAAAGTTGAGGAAGAAACAAAGAATGTCACCCTTACAATAGTAAGGTTGAAAGGTCACTTGGGAGTAGTCAAGGTTACATATAGAACCATGTATGATGAAGATGTCTCACTCTATCTGCCATCAAATATTGCAAGGGCAACATTGGGAGAAGATTATCTGCCCATTTCAGGATTTGTAATCCTTTCAGCCAATGAAAGTGAAGCTACACTACACCTCCCTATTCTGGATGATGATGAACCAGAGCAGTCGGAATCTGTATTTGTTGAGCTTCTTGGTGCTACTTTGATAGGAGAAGTCAATCATCAGCCAAGTAAGGCTAACTCTGTCTTTTGTTCAGTAATGTTTAAAGCACAACCCAAATTATATTTTCTTTACAAAACAATATTTAGCAACATTATACATGACTAAAACCACTTCAGTTTAATGGTTAAGGTACTGAGCTAGGACTGAGAAAAGCGGACTTCTAGTCCTGTCAACAGTAGATATAAGGTTGTCATTTTATTGTGGAATTCTAGTGTATTTTTATTGTAGAAAATAAATTGGAAATCCTTCAAATTCTTCTGTATTTCAGTTTCAGATTCTCCTCGCCTTGGATCTACCACTGATACAATTGCTCATATAATTATCAATGCCAATGACGATGCTTTTGGAACATTACAGCTCTCTGCTCCAGCTGTCCAAGTACCTGAAAATTATGTTGGACCAATAATCAATGTCACAAGGACTGGAGGAATCTTTGCAGATGTTTCTGTGAAATTTAGAGCAGTGCCAATTACAGCAACTGCTGGTAAGAGAGTGAAGAGACTACAATTCAATGGCAAAAAATGTACAACAGTGTACATTGACTTTAGCTATAAGCAAATGGCAAGAATATCAGAAAACCTTATATGGAATATGCCTGCATGTCATAGAATCCTTTAGCATGTTAATAAATTCATTTTTTTTGTTATTTGAGCATTTATTGCTCCTCCAGTTCAAACTACCATATATCAATGATAAACTATCTATTCCCGTCACTCATTTTTGCTAACTGCATCCATACATTGAAGCAAAAGATCTGAACTGAGGAGCCCACTTTAACTATATGGTCAAGCTTCCCTCTCGATGCAACACATCTCAATGTGTAGATGAGGCAGGAAGGATATTATAATCCAGTGCAGCTTTTTGTGTCAGGTGACTGAAATGTTTACCTACCTGCTTCATTCTGATATCTGCTAATATGGCTTTATAATGTGGTAAGATAGAAATGTTTCAGCATGGAATAAGCAAAAGAAAAACATACAGCAAAGCACACATGGTTCTTTGCTGAATTCAAGTTTACATGATCATTCTGTCATATGTTTTAATTTAAATTTGCATGTAACCTATTGTTGTGTTAATTAATCTAAGATCATTTTCCAGGTTTCCAGATATATTGTTCTTACATAAGGCATGCCAGCTTTTGAAAAACAAACATTCAGAGCAGACAATACCAATTATCAATATACACATTATTTTGGGTACCTCTTTTTAGAAGACCATATGTGCTAATGTCTCTTCAAAGAAGGTTTGGATTATAGCAATATGAAATATGGAATGGCTAAAAACATGAATGCAAAATCTTTTTATAGGATAAAATAGTTGGTATTGTTTCAAGAATATTCTGTACTATCTTCTCTAACTTTTTTCATAGATTCTGCTCATCAGATCTGAATTTCAAACAACTTAAAGAAATAGTATCATCATGTTTTTGAATAGGCATCTTTGTTATACACAGGTGAGGACTACAGCGTAGCTTCCTCAGATGTTGTCTTACTAGAAGGAGAGACCAGCAAAGCCGTGCCAATTTATATAATTAATGATATTAACCCTGAAAGGGAGGAGTCCTTATTTGTGCAGCTGCTCAATCAGACAACAGGCGGAGCACAACTCGGGAATCTAACTCAGGCAGTTATAACTATTGAGGCTTCGGATGATCCATTTGGATCTTTTGGTAAGGTGGCATTTAAATGTTAATAAAACCATCTATGAATTGAAAAATATCACAATAAATTTAATTAACAAGTTTAAATCTACCTTTCTTCTCAACAATATTTCTTTTCATAATATTTTATCTTACAATTGGCCACTTCTTCCTTTTTTGAAAACACTTCCTGATAAAGTACTGTAGTTTATTGTCAGTACTCTCACACTGGACTTTACAATTTAAAATTTAAGACTTAAACTAATGATTACAGCCCATGTAATCCCGTTTTTATGTCTTGAGAAGTACTGTGACCCCAGTAAGAAGACTTTAGTGCTTCTCTCTACTCCCCTGTCTGCCTCCCTTTCCTAAATCTTAAACTGGCCTCTTGTGCACTCTGTGCTATCAGGCATCCTTTTGTGGTATTATATAAGACTTTACAAAAGCAAAATGAATACAAATCAAAAGAGAGAGGGGAAGAGCAGACACTATTTTAAACCTACTTCTTAGTCTACTTCACAGGGTCCTGGTGAAATTAAAGTGGAGAGTGGAGTGGAGTGGAAGAATAGAAACAGAAAAAGAAATAGACTAGACTAGACTAGACTAGACTAGACTAGACTAGACCAGAACAGCTGGAAGGGATCTAGGAGGTCTTTTAGTTTAATTAAAAGATTTGTATTCTTCCTATTCACCTCAAGCAATTAATAATCAAATTAGAATATAAATATTTCAATACAGTGATATTAAGGGCATAGACCATTGTTTACTTTTGTTAACCAACAGTTGGAGAAAGATTGAGCTAACTAGCATTCTGGGCCAGCACGGAGATTCTTCAATACCATTTAGAACTGGATTGGAAACATTTTATGAACCTTTTCATTTTCCTATTCTTCAAGTTCCCTTTAAAGAGAGATTATTAAACAAAGACATTTGTAGAAGTTTTATCACTACTGTATCTATCTGAATGTCATCATATTCTGTCCTGTGGACTCTGCTGCTTCTTGCTTGAATGAGGATGAGGTTAACTTGGGCAGCAAAAATGCAGGTGCTGCATCTCTGGTGCTGGTATCCATTGATTCCCCCACTTTTGCTCTAATGCTGTTGGAGTGGAAAATACAAGCTTTGATTGTTAATTTAGGAAGACCTATTCAAAATTATAATATGCAATAGTTTAAAAAATCCACTCATTATTTGCATTTGATTATAAAAAAATATTATTAAGATATTAATTAAAAGTATGTAACGAACAGAAAAAACAAATTACAGTGAAAAAAATAAAGTTTCGTGTTGTTAGTTTTTCAGATCACTAATATAGTTGTCAATGAACCTGAAGCCAATACAGTATTGATAGATCTGCCAGTTATTCGCAATGCTGGAACACTTAGCAATGTGACTGTTGAATGGATTGCTACTATTGATGGGCAATTTGCTGACAGTGATTTGAAAGTCTTCTTAGGCAACATTCAATTTTCCCCTGGGGAAACCATGAAGAACTTGATATTAGAGATTCTGAATGATGATGTTCCAGAAATTGAAGAGGTAAGCTGAGAAATAAGACAAAACATGAAAAGAAGAACTTTATATGTGTGTGTGTGTGTATGTGTATTTTTAAAAATCTTGTTTATAAAACCATAGGTAAGAATATTGGACTTGTGAAAATGCAATACTATGGAATAATGGTGATAATAGTAATAATGATAATGTTATTAAAAATGGAAATATCCATTGATTTGTGGGGAGAACAGAAATCAGGAAACTTTTTGGTAGGGTTAAATAATTACTGAATTACTAATTCTCAAATGTTGATCTATAGGTCTCTTACCTTCTAGAACATGAGTGTCAAACTCAAGGTGCTTAGATCTGGCCTGCGGGCCTCCCTGAAAACAGTGAAGGACCAGCCCGCAGGGCCTCTGCCAGTGGAAATGGAGCATGGAGGGCTGCCCCCCCAGACTCCATTTTCACTGACAGAGGGCTGTCAAACCAAACTCAAAATAAAACAAAAGGAGAAATGTTTCCTCTTTTGCATTTGGGCATCCAAAAAGAGAAAGGAAAGGAGGAAGGGAAAGAGGAAAGACAAAGAAAAAGTCGGAAATATGGGAAGAGAGCAAGGAGGGAAAAAGAAGGAAAGAGAGGAAGGGAGGGAGGGAGGGAGGGGGGGAGGGAGGGAGGGAGGAAGGAAGGAAGGAAGGAAGGAAGGAAGGAAGGAAGGAAGGATCCCCCCAGTCCCTCCCGGGCCACCACAGGTGCCCTTGATATGAGTGACATCGAGCTGGCCATGCCCACCATGGCCATGCCCCCCCAAGGTCAAACACAATCCTGATGCAGCCCTCAATGAAATTGAATTTGACCCCCCTGTTCTAGAACAATTTTTCAAAAATTATACTGAGCTGTTGCAGGGGTTAAAATTGTTTCCTTGTATATCACTAGAACTTTCTTGAGCATAGGCTTGAGAGAAATTTACATTTTAAATTGCTAATACCTTGAATCTCAATAAGAACTTTTTTTTAGGAATTTTGTGGCCATGTTTAATTTTGGAATCAAACCATAGAGGTAATGATGTTTTTCTGCACCATACTAAGTGTTTCTCCAAAATACTTTGCAGATTATCATAGTAGAATTAATTCAGGCTTCCAATGGAGGTACTATTGGATTAGAGAGAGTGGCAAATGTTGTAATTCCTGCCAATGATAAGCCATATGGAACAGTATCCTTTCAACAAAACTTGTATCGTATTCAAGAGCCATTGGAGAGAAGTTCAACTGCAAACATAACAGTAAAAAGAAGGTCTGTTTAACACCCTAATACCTTAATAGCTTGTGGCTAATAACTACTTTGTTTCTCTGTAACACATTATTTATGACAATATATTACAATTTATACAGTTTAATGGAGAAAACTCTGTAGATAAGAATGAGAAATCTTTTTGAGTAAACCAACACAAAAACCTAAACTGTAGGAAGAGATTCTGAAGTATTTTTCCTTGATCAGTTCTGAAATTGCTTGAGGCATGTAAAGATTTTGTTGCAAGGAAGAGAATTCTGCAGCTTATCTAGTGAAATTTTCATTGAAAGCAGCAATTCCCACTGATTGTAATGTTATTTTTCTTTTCTTTTTTTAAAAACAAGTTTTATTAATTTCAACAACAAACAAATCATTACATATTTAAATCTTTTTCTGTATTTCCACAGAAATTTCCCCAATATTCTCATAAAACACAAACAAACACAAACAAACATATAAAAAATCTTTTAGTAAAGTACCTTGGCCCCAGTTACCTCTCTTTGTATGGGCAGCACATTTCACTCTTCACAATTCTATCTTATTTAATCCATCTTAATTAAATCATTATATTTATATCTTTTGCCCATTCATTATCCCTCTATCTCTTCTTATAATAAAAACAATTTCTCCTGAAATCACTAATCAGAGTATGATGCCTTTCTATCCTCCCCCTAAGTTAGTAAAATTAACATTCAACATAACAAATACCCAATTCGGTTCTGCTTGGTACATTCTATCCACCAAAAATGTTTAAATACATTGTATCCTCCTTTCCTTCAATATTTTATTACATTTTAAAAATCAATCATTATTAAAGACTTCAACATTTTAATTTCTTATTAAATCTTAAACCATTCTAATTTACTATTTCAAATATAAATGTTACAATACCATCTTCTGTACCTAGCAGAATCTTTCTTACAAAAGTTTATATTTCATCCTTTATCCCTAAAAAAAATTCCTCTTCTCCCATCCAATTTTAAAACTTTGAGGCTTTTCTCCGCCTTTCCCCTTTCTTTCTTCCCCCACCAAATCTTCCTACCCCCCCTTCTTCTTCTAACCTCTGCCTTGCTGGGATCCCTTCTCTGTTGTGTTCCCTTTTTCTCTTGTTTGCTATCATTATATTTACTTTGCATCATATTTTTCTCTTTCTCAAATGTTTTTTTAGATCTTAAGTCCTTCATTTTCCTTGCTCTCTTCCTTCCTTCTTTCTTAGATAAGTTTTGAGATTCAATAAAGATGGCGTCTTCATCTTTTTCTTGTTGTTGTTCTTCTGTTTCCATCTGTTTCATTGTCTGTTGGTAATTAACCAGCGCCATTTCTAGAAATAGAAAAGCTTTTTCCATACCATCTTTGCAGGTTGCTTTTGTTTGCTCATATTCATCCCTCAGGTCCTCAGAAGGAAAAGCCATTATAAATAAATCTTTTCTTTTCTTTATTCCTCTTTCTTCTTACACCAACCAAATATTCAGAGAGAAAGGTAAAACAATACCAAAGTCCACAATCCTCAATAAATCCAAGCAAGCCAAATTTCCCCTTCCTCTTCCAGGGGTGGTATCAAACAAAAAAAAAAAAGAGAGAGAGAGAGTCCAAATCTGTATTTTAAAGCCTTTTTAAAATTATGTTTCTGTCCTCAAATCTTCAAGGCATCTCCTCCAACAAGATCCAGATTTATATATTTTCTTTGTCCTCTCCCCTCCGGCTTAATTCCGTCGGGAGGGAGAGTAAACTTTCCTTTCAGCACCTCAAAATTGCCGCTTTTTTTCTCTTGTGGAAAAAATCATCAAAAAGCCATCTTTTCCAGGAATTAAATTAGATAAATCTCAAAGCCCTGGGTCGACCAAGAATAACTTTCACTTTTAATAACTTTCTCTTCTTCCTCCTGCGCATACTTGCCTGGCTGCCGACTTCTTTGTGGCGGCCATTACGGACCGCCGCTGCACCGTCCTGGTAAAAGGGGGTTCTGCCGGCCAGGGAGGGGGTCTGCAACACCCCCAGACCCTTCCTCCGGATCCCCCTTACCTTCAGCTACCCCTGCAGGGCAGCCTTGCTCCGCACCCGTCCGGATCGGAGCCCCAAAACGGCTAGCGCGGCAGGGATCGCGCAGCTTCGCGAATCCCTACCGCTCGCGAAGCCGACAAACCGGAAACCTCCTGTAATGTTATTTTTCAAATAGCGTGCATCATATACTAATTAAATATATGTAAGTGTTTGTGCATATTCCTGATTTGTAAGCATTAATAGATATATACAGAATAAAATAGATATATTTTAGATATAAAATATATTGCATTCATTTTACATCTATAGGAGGGATATAAATATATATTAGATATATTTTAGATATAAAAAATGTAAAATGAATGCAACATTCTCTGTTAGAGGATGAATGTGCTATATGAATATGAGTTTGTGTGTGTGTGTGTGTGTGTGTGTGTGTGCGTGTGCTATAATGCTTGCTGTTTTACATATGTGCGTCTAAATATGAATATTAGAATCCCTGATTGTATTCTAAGGTAGGGAAAACATGTTGCCAATGAAGCATTTCAGGGAAGGCAGAACAAATTAATTGGAGAATGCCAATGAATGTAGTTTAGAAGTAAGGACACCAGGAAAAGGTCTTGAATGAAGATCATAGAGAGGACTTCTAGTTTGAGTAAACTTAGAAATACAAGCCCCCACATCTAATTACTCCCAAAAATTTAAAAAATGTAAAACCTAGGGGAAATATCCTTCCATTAATCCCTATTTTTTAGCTTTGCTTTCTGGTTTTCATCCTAAGCATTAGAAGGAAGGTTACAGTATCCTGTAAAATATCCTGTTTAAAACATAAGAGTTCAAAGCTATGCTTTGTTTCTATTTTTTTGCATTCCCCACCCACTCAGATTTAACTGTGATAGCTATATCAAGAAGCCTGTTTTAATCATTATTTAATTTGTCATTTATTTAATTTGTAGTGGTGGAAGATTTGGTCAGCTGAAGATCTTTTACAGCACTTCAGACATTGATTTCATAACTCTTGCACAAGAGCAAGGGCTGAATGTATTATGCTATTATGAAGCACCTATACAAGGAATTCCAGATGAGAGTCATGTGACCAGAGTGAATCTTTCACTTGCCAATGATTCTCTCTACACTTGTGCTATTCTTTGTTTGAAAGAGCAGGCCTGCTCAGCTTTTTATTTATCTGGTACTTCTGAAATTTCATCATGTTTTTGGGCGGCATCTTGGAGTAACTCAATAACCAACATCTCAGGATTCTGGATATACAAGAAAAATCTTACTACTTTAAATGCTATTTTCAGTACACAAGCAATTGCTAATAATGACTATGAGCCTGTTACCAGCCAGTGGATGATCATGGAAGAAGGAGAAGAATTTGCAAACCTCACAGTCTCCATATTACCTGATGATTTTCCAGAACTGGATGAGAAGTTTGCCATTTCTTTGTTACAAATTGTGCTGATGAATATAACTGCCAGCATTGAAAATCAACCAGTCATAGGGCAACCAAACACAGCTACAGTTCTTATATTAATGAATGGGGATGCTTTTGGTGTGTTTGTAATTTATAGCATCAGTCCCCATACAACTGAGAATGGTCTTTATGTGGAAGTACAAGAATGGCCTCAGAATACTGTGCAGTTGATGATACATAGAACAGAAGGTAGTCTGGGACAAGTGATGGTGGAATGGAGCATTAGTGGTGGCACAGCAACCCCAAATCTGGATTTTTTAGGTGATGGAGAAGTCCTGATTTTTGCAGAAGGTATGGAATTTGAGAGAATCGTCTAATGAAAATTCAATATGCTACTGTCCTGTACAATCATTGCCATATTTCAAGCTTTATAATGACTTATAGGAAGATTGTAAGGAAAACACACATACCATTCCACTGAAGGTTATCATCCATAAATTATAGTTTAAATTCCAGCATTTTAAACTCATTAAATAAAGATATTTTATGCCACTTGAAATGCAGAGTCTAAAAAGGATTTCATACTACTTTTTCTAAAATTCATAGGATAATTTTAAGACACATCATTGATAAAAAGAATATAAAGGAACAGTTTTAAATAGTATTACATGCTAGAGCTGCTTTGTTTATGTGCTTGTATTTAGAAATCTTTGTTGTTTATCTAAGTCAGGGGTGTCAAACTTGTGGCCCAGGGGTCAGATGCGTCACGCACTGGCCACATCCAGTTTAGTGAAGGGGGTAAAGTCATGATACATCATATGACGATGCTGTGATGATGTGAGTTTGACACCTCTGATCTAAGTGAAATGATTGTTCTTCTAAACATTGGAAAGGTTGCTACATAAACATAAAGTGCTCTAATTTTTCTTATCAGGTGAGACAAAAAAGCCTGTCACCTTGACTATTCTAGATGACACTGAGCCTGAAGATGATGAAAGCATTCGGATCACTTTGACTCACACTGAAGGTGGTAGCCGTATTTTACCCAGTTCAGATACTGTCACAGTGGTGATTTTGGCCAATGACAATGTAGCAGGAATTCTTAGTTTTCAAACATCCTCAAGATCTGTAATTGCTCATGAAGGTGGGTTCATCTCCATTTTCACTTCCCTTTCTTTGTGAATTATTAATATTAATCTGAGTTTAGGCTTTCTCTCAGTTTGATCAATTTATTGTTTGGAAAAACAGAATAATTTGATCAATTTATTTTCCTTCATTTGATCAATTTATCCCTTAGAAAAATTTTCTATCTTTATAAATTAATATTACAGAATAATATACAAATGTACAGTATGTGAGGAATTGCAGAATTTTATACTTCTGCTCATCACCAATTCTCCACATTCTGACAGACCTCATGTAAGGCATCCAGAAAGTATCCATGATATCAATCACTCCGAGACATTTTCTCTCCAATTGATTTATTTAGAAACAGATCTGGCATGTCAAAGGCAATTTCCCAAGTAAAATTATTTTCGCGTGTTACACAGAATCCACCTTCTCTCCTCCCACTTCTACACTTCATAAATCACTAGAACCAATTAACTGCCACTGGAATTTCTTAATACGACATACAGAATAACCTTGAACTTTTCAACTCCTCCAACACTCTTAAAAAAATGTGGCGGTGCGAGCGGCGGTCGGGCGGTCGGTGCGAGCGGTGGTCGGTGCGAGCGGCGGGTGAGCAGCGGGCGCGAGCGGCGGTCGGTGCGAGCGGCGGTCGGGCGGTCGGTGCGAGCGGCGGTCGGTGCGAGGGGCGGGTGGGTGCGAGCGGCGGGAGCGAGCGGCAGGTGGGCGGGCAATTTATTGGCGCGCGGTGGGGGGTCTCTTTTGGCCGGCCCCGATTTTTTTTTCTGAGGGGAATATCATGCCTGCAAACACCAGAATGTTTCCTTCCTGCCTTCCTTACAGGATTAGGCCAGTCATTTCTTCTAACAACTGGTTCTCCAAACTGCTTAGAACGTTAACAACTGGTTCTAGCGAATAGGTGCGAACTGGTAGAATCCCACCCCTGGATAAGGAGAAAAAATAGATGAGACTTCAAGATTTGGGGTGATATAGAATAATAGAAGGGATGGAGAAAAAAATCTGGATTTGGCCTCTGTTATATTCTGTATTGTATTTACAAAACCCTTTTGCATGGAAGGCCAACAGATTACTTTTGGAAGTCATCATAATTGATTCAGTGATGTTCTGTTTCTGACTATTTAATTGTTTCTTTTCTAGTTTAATTGTTCTGAACAGTTTGTCAAACTAAGTATAAGTTGATAAGCAAAAAGAGCCATCTGTGAGCATGAGAAATTGCATGAACAATATGATCTTTGTACTCATAATTTTATTTCTTCCATCTTTCTGGTACAGTCATATCAATATGTGCAAGATGAATCAGAACCAATTACACAATAATAGTAATAATAGCATAATATATTATTTATGGAGAATGCCGTTTGTTCAGATTTTTAAAGGTTAGAATCCATTGCTTAGATATCAGAATCCTACTTAGAAATGAATAATATCATTAAGCATGTAAGGTAAGGGACTGCTTCCAAATGCCCCCACCCATAAATTTTGTCCCCATCTCTACTCTTTTTGACTGAACTACACACTTTCTTGTGGAGTAGCAAGCATCTCTATAATTGTGCAGTTCTGGGGCTGCTTGCCATGCATCAGGAAGCCTCAGCCACCCTAGCAAGCACATGCAAGCATTCGTTCACCCAGCTGCCTTCTCTCATATTCTCTGCACCAATCTTTTGCCTTTTGTGCCCAGTCACTGTGACAGAAGTAGAAGTATCTTTCTCTTTTGGGGTCTCTGTTTTGCTGTCTTTGCTGCCTGCTTTTCAGATCCAGTTTCTCTAGCAAAGATTTCCTACTTTTGGCTAAAACTGAGCTATATTAGGAATGAACATGAGAAAGCTGGTACAAGCAGAATTTATAGCTTTTATAGGTTTATATTCACTACTAGTTATACATGTTTTGATCAGAGGTGGCATTCAACCAGTTCACACCTACTCGGGTGAACCGGTAGTGGTTATTTGGCATGGGTCGCCGAACTGGTGGCAACCCCTGGCTGGTCATGCCCCCAACCCAGTCGCCCGGTCGTTCACTTGCGATCGCTCTCCTAGCTTTCCGTTCCCCACATCCTCTTTCTCCCCGGGGGAAAGGAAGAAAGGCATGGACGCTGCAAGTATTACTTTCCCCTTGTGAGTTAAAGTGTCTGGAGTGAGAAGGAGTGTGGTCTGACAGAGGGGGTGAGGGTGAATCGAGCCTTGGAGCACTTTTGCAACGTAAAAGAAATGCATTTTGGAAGCAGGTCCTTTAAAAACTTCTCCAAGGATTCCCCATGGATACTGCAAGTATCGCTTTCCCCTTGTGAGTTAAAGTGCTGGAGTGAGAAGGAGTGTGATCTGACAGAGGGGGTGGGGGAATCCACTCAAGCCTTGGAGAAATTTAAAGGAGCTGCTTCCAAAATACTTGTCTGTTAAGTGCTGTGTGTGTGTGTGTGTGTGTGTGTGTGTGTGTGTGTATGAGAGAGAGAAAAGGAAGGAAGGAAGGAAGGAAGAAAAAAAGAAAGAAAGAAAGAAAGAAAGAAAGAAGAAAGAAAGAAAGAAAGAAAGAAAGAAAGAAAGAAAGAAAGAAAGAAAGAAAGAAAGAAAGAAAGAAAGAAAGAGGAAGGTACAGAAAGAAAGAAAGAAAATAGGAAGAGAGAGAGAGATAAAACTGTGCTATTATTTTTAATTGTTCCATTATTTATCATGTGTTAATATTTTACACTGTCCCTATACCTAGAGTGATTTTTCTGTCTTTCTTTTGCCCAGGGCTACCACATATTTTTTAGGGTTTACATGCATTCAATGTCAATAGTCCAGAACATAAAATACACATGTGTTTAACAAGAGTTGAAAGGGACCTTGGAGGTCTTCTAGTCCAACCCCCAGCTCAGGCAAGAAAACTGAGGATGCCAAATCCTGAGTAGAAATCCTGGGAAAGGTGTCAGAATAATACTTAGAAGGGACCCTTGGGATGAACCCTATACCATTTCAGAGAAATGGCTGTCCAGTCTTTTCTTAAAAACTTCCAGTGATTGAGCACCCAGAACTTCTGGTGGCAAGCAGTTCCACTGGCTGATTGTTCTCACTGTCAGGAAGTTTCTTCTTAGTTTTAGGTCGCTTCTCTCTGTTCAGTTTCCATCCATTGCTTCTTGTTTGCATTCTACTTCTTTGGAAAATACATTGTCCCCCTTTCTTTGTGGCAGCCCCTTAAAAGCCTGTTGCCTATCACACTCTTGAGTAAAGCATGTGAACCATTTCCTCCTTTCAGTGGTCCATGAAAGTACATCTATAGTATGCAGATAATAAAGTCAAAAAAGGTGAACAACATTTTTACAGAACTATAGATAAGTTGAGGCTGGGTGACAAGGAATAGCTGGGAGGGGAAGGGCCAGGTGAGGCACCCCTTGATGTGAATGACATTGAGTTGGCCACACCCACCTAGACACATGACCACCAAGCCATGCCCACCCAGTCACATGACCACCAAGCGTGCCCACCCAGTCACATGACCACTAAGCCATACCCACCCAGTCACATGACCACAAGCCATGCCCACCAAATAAGCCACGCCCACAGAACCAGGAGTAAAAAAAATTGAATTCCACCACTGGTTCTGATGGTAATTACGGTAGCTTCTAATTCTGTTATTTACTTATTTATTTATTTAAAACATAATGTAAAGCTGCCCATCTTCTAACCAAATCTGGGGTGGTCCCAATCAAATGTTAAAATAATTAAAATCCTATTAAAACCATAAAACAAAACAGATTAGAACATTACAACATTAAAACCAACAAAGACCTGGTGCCAAGTCAACCTTCTAATGTGCCATTATCCTATCTTATCCCAGCACTTGGGAGGAAAATCCAGGTCTTTAAAGCTTTATGGAAGGTTAAGAGGGTAGAGTCCTGCCAAGTTTCATGGCAGAGTGTTCCATTGGGAAGGAGCTGCCCTAGAAAGGCATGCTTGCTAGCTTCCATCAGATGGCAATATTTAGTGGAAGGGATTAGGAATATGCATTGCCCACCCTACCAGATCATGCAAGATGCAAGATGTTTTCAGGGAAAGGTGATCCTGCAGATAACCTGGCCCTGTGCTACATAGGACTTTGAAGTTGATGACCAACACTTTAAATTGCATCCAGAAAGAAACAGGAAGCCAATGCAGCTCTCATAACAGAGGTGTTGGGCAAACATAGGACCCCCAATGCATGCTGCTGCATTCACGACCAGTTGAAGCTTCTGGGTGGTCTTCAGAGGCAGCCCCATGTACAACATTTCGTGGTAATCCAAGTGGGAGGTGAGCAAGGCATTAGTGATTGTGAGTAGGGCCTCACACTCCAGCAAAGATTGCAATCAATACACTAGACAAATCTGTGCAAAGCCCCTCCCCCTCCCTCCCAGCCATGGCTACTGACAGTTTCTCATGCAGGAGCTGTGAGTGTTAATTCCCATCCTGATTTATTTTATTTTATTTCATTTTTCCAAGACAAAATGAAAGGTAGGTTTTTAATATTTAGTATCAGGATAATTTTGGGTTCTCTTGAAATAACATAGTTGACTGAATAAAATTTTCAACGATTTTTTTTCATAAGTCTGTATCTGGATTTTTACTTGTTAAGAATTGTTGTTGCAGTTTTTTTCTGATTTACATATATTACAGTCATTTAATAGCAAATCAAGATAATGAAAATGATTAATCAGAAAGGCACATATTTATCTTTGAAGCAAACAAATGGAAAGTTCTATTTGCTCAGAACTTTCTATTGTCTTAGGTGCAAATAGTATATTGGCTTTCCTTTATTTCTTATGATATTATGTATGCTTTAATTTCTAGGAGAGCTGGTACAATTTCATGTGCTAAGGACTGCACCAGGAGCTGGCAATGTAACTGTTGACTGGGAAATTGTTGGCCATAATTTGGAACAAAACTTTGAAAATATTTCTGGCACACTCTGCTTTTTAGAGGTAGTTATCATTTATTTGCTTCAGATTCCATAATAAAAAGAAAGTGTGAATAGTTGCACTTGATTTGAGAACAGATGGACTTTATTTTTTGCCTTATTTGCAATATAAAATTATACATATCTGCTCAGATGTAAGCCATATTTAGACTAATGCAGTGGGACTTATTTCTAAGCGTGTAGCACTGTACCTTTTTACCTAGCTGTTTTACAAGCCCAGTGCACTTTTGCTAGAATAAAATGTAATATTTGGATATTAACCTGTTATATCCTAAAAACTTCAGACTCTGCTAAGTTGTAAATGTCACAGTACCAGAAAATGGTCCAGGCTAGTATTGCTTGTAATAAAACAACTTAATAGATGAAAAGGTGATTTGTAGAAATGAGTTTCAATGTTTTACAGGTAGTCCTCAATTCACAATCACAATTGAGCCCAAAATTTATGTTGCTAAGTGGCAAATTTGTAAACTAAGGTTTATTTATTTATTTATTTATTTATTTTTGTCAATTGTTTACAAGATAATAGGTATAAGTAAAAACATAGTTATGAACACATGAATACATATAAGAAAAATAAAAAACATAAAAGAAACAATAGGACAGGGATGGTAGGCACGTTTGTGCGCTTATACAAGCCCCCTACAGACCTCTTAGGAAAGGGGTGAGGTCAATAGTAGACAGTCTAAGGTTAAAGTTTTGGGGGTTTGGGGAAGAAACCACAGAGTCAGGTAGATTATTCCAGACATTGACTACTCTGTTGCTGAAGTCGTATTTCCTGCAATCAAGTTTAGTGCGATTAACCTTGAGTTTGTATCTATTGTTTGCTCTTGTGTTGTTATGGTTGTTATGGTTACCCATTTTACGACCTTTCTTGCCACAGTTGTTAAGCCAATCGTTGCAGTTGTTAAGTTAGTAATATGGTTGTTAAGTGAATCTGGTTCCCCCAATGACTTTGCTTGTCAGAACATCACATGACCCTGGGACTCTGCAACCATCATAAATATGAACCAGTTGCTAAGCATATGAATTTTGATCATGTGACCCTGGCAGTGCTGCAATGGTTGTAAGTGTGAAAAACAGCCATAAGTCACTTTCTTCACTGCCATTGTAACTTTGAACAATCAGTGAACAAATGTAAGTCGAGGACTACCTGTACTATCATAGTTATTAAATAATTGTCCCTTTTTTGCTTTAACTAATAGGGGTCATTAAATGCAACAATTTATTTATACCTGCTGGATGATCAGATCCCTGAAGAAAAGAAAGAATATCACATAATTCTGTACAATATTAAAACTCAAGGTATTTGTCTTGTAGATAAATATAGCAAATCAAGATTGGGTTATACATGATGACTAGATTATTTAATATTTTGTAATCTGAAGATGAATGTATTAGTGGATAAAATACATCAGTCTGAAATGCCATGAACAGTCTGTCTGAGTTAATCTGTTCACAGATGCAAAGAACCATTTAATGCTTCAGTCTAACAGGGATATTGGATCAAACTGAAGTCCTATCTAAAGGGGGAGGTGTCCTTGGTGCCTTAGAGCTTGCTTGTTTTTGTTGCAGATGTTTCATTACCCAAAGTAGGTAACATCATTCAGCACTCCTTACTAGCACAGATGATGATATCTAGTTTGGGTAATGAAATATCTGCAAGAAAACAAGCAAGCTCAGAGAGCAACAAGGACTCCTCATTTCAACCCTGAGCTACAATTATTCTCCTTCCAATTATTCTCCATCTAAGCCAGAAACTATGGTAGTTTACCAGATTTTGAGGACAATGGTTTTATGTACAATGGGGGAAATTATGTTTGGAGACAATTTGCTTTTGATTCCAAAAATAAGATATGATGTCTGATAATTGTGATAAACATAACCTTCTTTAATTTATTACTTCTCTAAAGCCATTTTAAGATACAACATACTCATGATTTTCTGTAGCCCAAATATTTGATTATTTTATGTGGGAAGGAGGAGAAGGATTGCCATGTATGCTGTCACGATCATTATGCACAGCGAGCAGAACAATGAAAGATTGATCATGGTTCTCTGAAAAACATACTGGAGTATCTTTTGCCATATACCATCGAACAATTTACTATTAAATTAAAGGGCACATTCCTATGGGGAACCATGCTTTTTAACATCATTTTTTAATTTATTTTTAGGCGTCACTTCTACTGGCATTGCTACTTTGGACCATCAAGGATATGAAGCAGTTTTGACAGTAGAGGCTAGTGATGAACCATATGGCATTCTGAATTTTGCATCTTCATCTAGAATTGTATTAGTCCAAGAGGAAAATAAGACGATTCAACTTTTCATTAACAGAGAATTTGGATCTTTAGGTCTGTATATAGAAGAATGTAGGTTCTAAAAGATATTTTTCTATATACAGCTTCATTATTAATACTTTCTTACACATGATGTTTCATAGTATTATGTCATAAAAGCAGAAGAAAATGCATCAATATCCAAATAAATAAATCTGAAACTCTGAAAAAGGAATATATTTTAGATCTAAGAGCTAAATTGATTCTAAGCAGCTATATTAGGTACCATGTGTCAATAGTTACTAGAATATAGATATTAGCACCCAACAAGATTTCTTTTACTCGCATACTGTACATAAATATACTGAAGTACACTATTATCCAAGTAGTTGATTGCGGTGTTGTAAAAGACTTTTCCTTTCATGTGATGAAAGAAATGATAGAAACAGCTGGGAGAGTCTTGACTAAGAATTGGTGAAATTTTAATTCAAATAGTGAGTTTTCTAAACTTTAACTAAAATGATAAAAATAGGAGGGATTTTTACGGAAGGAATTTCATAATGACATAACATAGCAAAAAGTCAGTGCTTTCTGCTTTTTGCAGTTCTAACCAGCCAATGAATTCTGAACATTCAGTGGCTTGCCCTAACATATAAGGAAGAAGGTAGACAGTCCTAGATATCAAATACCTAAATATTTGCCATGTTCAAAACAAGTATATTATACTGTAATATTTATATATTTATGTGATTATTATGTTGTAATCACTATACTTCATTTTGCTATTAAAAGAACAAAGCAGAAGCAAAATATTGCAGGTTTGTAAATGCTACACTTCAGTTTAATTGTAATTTTATAAGAGACCTCTGGTATTAAAAATAATAACACTGCAAACAAGAGGAACAGCAACCTGAGAAAAATGCAAACATTTGAAAAAACACACAAAGTTGTTACAGAAAAATCCAAGGTTTTTTTTTAATTAAAAAGCATAAAAAGTAGGCATGAAATATAATGCTCCATTGGCATGGGTAATGAGCATGATATGATTATCAAAATCCAAGTATAATGGACAAATAAAAGAAGCATCTTGATATAAGTAAAAGATGTAGCTGTAATGAAGCTCATTACACCGCCTTTAGTTGCATGTCTCACATCTCTGATATTCATAGATCACAGTATGTGGTATTATACAAATCAGTCTTTGATGTTTTTGTTCATTATAAAATATAAGTGTATTTAATTATAATTACATCTGAAATCTATATGTTTACCAGGTGTTGTCAATGTAACCTACACAACAATTTCAGAATTTCTTGGTTTAAAGAATCAGACTGAAGGGACATATGCTGAACCAGGAGTTGATTATATACCTATATCAGGATCAGTTATTTTGAAAGAAGGTGTAACAACAGCCACCATAAATATTACTATTCTAGAGGTAAATTCTAATTCCACTCGGTAAAAGAAAAAGAGAGAGAGTCTGATTTTGATGAATGCAGGATTTAGGCCATAATTTCTAATGTTCATGGGAAAATTCTTTGCTCTATTGGTTGATGGAAAAATCCAAGAGGAACAGTTAATCACAAAAAGAGAACTTAGATTTATACAAGTGGAATAAATCTGTTTCATTACACTGGTTTCAATACCATGTGCCACATTTTATAATCTTTAAAATGAATAATGCATTGTTCCATATTTTTTCTATTTCATTTCCTGATTACAGTACTTATAGTAAATCTTGCAGTTGGAAAAAAGCCTGGCTAGTATTATATTATTTTAAAATTTGTAATATTTCATTTGACATGCATATTCTTCAGGCCTAGTAATTCCATTAGGAATGAGGATGGTAGTTAGACATAGTGCATAATAGATACCTTAAGTGCAAAATACACTACTTCTGCTAATTTAGTAGTCATTTTCAAGAGGACAATAACATGAGCCTATGTTTGTTTTTGTTTTACAGGATGATATTCCAGAAATGCAAGAATATATTTTTATTAATCTAACATCTGTGAAACTTGTCAGATATCCTTTGGTATCTTTTCCTCCCAGACTTGGTAGAAATCTCACAACTTTCTTTCATGATTTATTTATACCTCTGTATCAAATTTGTACATTTTAAAAATATTTTGCACCAATGTAAAATATTTATTACATATAAAAATATTTGTTACTCCCTTTATGCAAGCTTTCAAAATATACTTCTCTAAAAAAATTAAGCTAACAGTAGTTTTGTCAATAGCATTTTAAAAGTAAATTTAATTAGTCAAATTCACAGATAATAAGAAACCATTTTTATTAGTTACAATAGTAAATCTTGCTTATTGTAGAGGAAGAGTGTGCTGATGCATGCTCCCACATTGCTGGCATCTATTAAATCAACCAGTGGTTACTTTATTTAAAAAATGACATGTACAGCATTATTAGCACATATCTCATTCATGTTCTTTGCAAACTTCAGTGTGATATAAGAGTCTTGGAACCATAAGGGAAGCAAATCCAAAAATTTGCTTCAGGCCCCAAAACTCCAACTTACAATTCCTAATCAACTTTAGGCTGGTATATTAGATTTGGTTTTGTTCAGTATTTTCAAGATACATCATGCTTCCTGTTACTGGTGTTACAAAAATGTATATTCTAATATTTTCAATTTGATCTTCATTTTGCATTTCTGTAGAATTGACTGGGTTAATTCACTACAATATAAATAGAAAAAAAAAGTGCCAATAGGTTTAAGATGTGTTGATAGCACAATGAATACTAGGAATAGTAGGATTTCTGTGTTCTGAGTAATTTTAATTACTTAAAATTATTTATTAATATTCTACTTTTTTCCAAGAGCATTTGGGAAGAATTACAGTTCGTTAATATTATGCATACATTGATATTATAAATAATAATTTACTTTGTACATCTAAGCATTTATTTATTGATCCACATTACTGTGCAAAATAATTTTCTTGCTATTTTTAGACATGGAGGGTTTAACAGCACAGGTAATTATTGACGCTAATGATGGAGCAAGAGGAGTAATAAGTTGGCAAAATACAAGGTAAGTTTAATTTTCAGTTTACGTTTCATTTTTTTTCAATTGTTAATTTGCTCAGCTGAAACCTTTTGTGACATGAATCATGATGTCACCAAAGACAGTAGGAAATGTAGTCAGCCAGTCCTGGAAGCCAAATATGGGCTCTAAGTAGTCCAGGATAGCCAAGGTATCATTATCAGGAATGTATCCAATTTACATTTAAGTGCTACAGGCAGTTTCAAGGATTTCAAATTGTAGATAAGTAGGTTACTACTGCAATTATTTCTTCAATTAAACATTAGTTTATATTTTTCCATTTATCATATTTTGAAACAGTAAATAAAAGCGTGTGGAAATGAACAAATCCACAATCCTGGCCAGAATGATGGAGAACTACAGAGAGGGGATCGATAGGAAAATGCTTATGGCAAGAGTTCGCGGTTTTAAAACGGATGAGACACATCTGGTTTTTAAATATTAAAATGCAGAATTTTTAAGAAATCCTGCAAGAAAGAACAAACATAAATTTTTTTGTATAATCTTTTGAAAAAATTTGTAAGCTCATAATGGGTTCTCTTCACAAGAGATCTTAAAATAAATCAAGCTCAAAATCAATCTCTATTACTGATATTTTAATTTGAACAATGAAAGAAATTTATTTTATTTATTTAATTTCTAAATATGGTATACCAAATATGAATGGTATCAAAAAATTTAGTCAACCTGCTTGAGTCTAGTTATTTATTTTTACAACTATAATCAGCTGGATTGACTAAAATATGTTTTAAAAATTCAATTTTTCTGGATGAAAAAAACACTTACCTTTTTAAACATAATTAATGAGATGACTGCAGAAGCTGTAAAAAGTGCTGCTATGACTATCATCATAATGCCTACTGGAATACTCTTGTTAAGTCCAGTAAGAGATGAAATCCATCCACTAAAGAAAATACAGAGAGCTCTAAAACACATCTTTAACACTCTTTAAAGAAGTATGGCTATTTCCCCCCACTATGTTTTAAAGGAAAATATCATTTTTCCTTTATGGGTTACAAAGGAAGCTTTTAACACATATTTTAAGAATCCACTCCTAAAAGAATTGAAAACACAAATACTTCAGTTCTTTTTTTTTTTTTTTTTTGAGGAATGGGAGGACAGTAAAGCAGTCCTGAATTCTTTTACCATCTTATTGGATTTTGTAAATTGCCTATGTTATATAAAACTAGAATTACATTTAAGCAAGTATACCTCATGCAAGCATACTGAAAGTTGCTATTTAAATTACACCAACTACTCAGTTAAGTTTTCCTTTCCCAATTTAGATACCACTTGAAAATATGGACCTTCATTACATATTTTATGCCATAAGAAAGAATTTTTGAAGTTTTATTTAAACTGAAAAGCAACCATATACCTACGGATAGGAAACAAAGCTAAATTATTTATAGCATGTGATATAGCATACCATAACTCAACCAAGTGACTGGGTGGTTTAAAATTATAAGATTATAAAACAATTTGTCTGTTTAGCTTTTAATAAATTTTGTGGCCTTATGGATCTGGGTTTTTCCCCCAGATCCTAGAATGTTAATGAAGCCTAGTTTGGCCATACATACAATAAAATTATAAAGACATATTCTCCTTTATTAATCCAATAATAGGCCACAACATTTTCACTTAAAAATATGATCATAGATTAAGAAAGCTATTCTTGTAATATTATTCCAGCATTCATCTTGCTGTAGCAAATCTACAATATATGGACTGAATTATATATATGAATTCGGATAAAACAAATACTGCAATCCAGACAGAATGAATTTGAATTAGGACTGGCAGAAATCAGTAACCTAAAAGAACATGTCACCTTCAAAATGTTGAACCACAGCTCCTATCACTCTCAATTCTGCATACTGGAATTAGGATTGTTGGAAACTGTGGTTCAACAACATTTGGTCAATGGTCGCCCACTTCTGCACAAGGAGGTACAATTTAAACCGCAGTAAAGGCTTCTCTCTGACTGCTATGAGAAAACAGTTTACCTAATTCTGAACTTGGCTCCATGCAAAATACAATTAAAGGATTTCCTCACCCCCTACCAGTTTTTTCGTTTCTGATAATCTGGGCAAATGAGAAGCCAATATCAACACACGACAAGGATACCGGGCATGTGTTATTCCTTCAATAGACATCCTCCTTGCAAGTAAGCAGCGACTAGCCATTGGCCTGGCCTGGCCCCCATTCTATCTCTTGGTATGCCCTGAACAGCACTTGCCTACTGACTCCGATAATACCTCATTATTTCAAACACCTGATGTTTAACTTTATAAAACATTAAAAAAAGAAATGGGTTGTAATACCTTCGCAAAAAACCTCAACAATTACAGACCAGTGGCACTCACTCCTATCATCATGAAGTGCTTTGAGAAATTGGTCTGCCAGCACATCATTTCTGGTCTTCTGCATACATTTGATAAACACCAGTTTGCATTCAGAAAAAATAGATCTACAGAGGACACTAGCCATCACTCTTCACACTGCTCTGACTCATCTAGAACAGCGGGGGGGCTATGTGAAGATGCTTTTTGTAGATTTTAGTGTCCACATAGACTAGTGTCTAAACTTATGGATCTTGGACTCTTATTCAATCTGTCTTTGGATAATGGATTTGTCTGGCCACTCTCAGAGGGTCAGATTAGGTAATCATATCTCTTCAGCTCTTATTCTTAACACTGGTATACCACAGGGTTGTGTGTTGAGCCCCTATACTCTTTATGCGCATGACTTCATTCCCACTCATGCTAGTAATACTATTACTAAATTTGCAGATGATACAACAGTGGTGGAACTCATCTCCAGGATGGATGAGTCTGACTATCGAGATGAGGTAGACCGGTTGCTTTTGTGATGTGGAGACAATAACTTGGTCCTTAACACCAATAAGACCAAGGAGCTTTTAGTGGACTTTAGAAGGAATAGATCAGACCTCCAGCCCTTACTTATCAATGGAGACCGAGTGGAGCAAGTGGCCAGTTTTAAGTTTCTGGGTATTATCATAAAAGAGGACCTCACCTGGGGCACTCACATTGCAGCACTGGTCAAAAGGGTCCAGCAGAGAGTATACTACCTGAGACTTCTCAGGAAACAACAACTGAATGAAAAACCTTCTACTGCTGCAACAGAGTATTTTAATTTACTGCACCTGTGTATGGTTTGCCAATTGCACAGTGGCAGATAGGACAGCACTCCAGAGGGTTAACGTCATTTCCCAGAGGATCATTGGCTGCCCTCTCCCCTCTTTGGAAGAGTTTTATAGTTCCCACTGCCTTAAGAAAGTTCAAAACATTCTCAAAGATCCATCTCATCCTAATACCATCTTGCAGATGGTACAGGATAATAAAAACAAGGACAAAGAGGCTGAAAAACAGCTTCTATCCCAGGGCAGTAACTCTATTGAAGTCTACTGAATAGTGCAATATTAATGCAATATCGGGTTTTCAATTCAATTGTATAGAATGTGAAGGATGTGTGTTTGTGTTTTATTTTTAGTTATAAATAATGTACACTGAAGATGGCATTTAATTTCTTGTGTGAGGCAAAATGACAATAAAGTAAAGTAAAGCTCTCACTACATGAGATGTGGTGGCGCAGTGGTAACAGGCTAATTCTGCTGACTGCCAGCAGTTTGGCAGTTCAAATCTCACCAGCTCAAGGTTGACTCAGTTTTCCATCCTTCCAAGGTTGGTAAAATGAGGACCCAGATTGTTGGAGGCAATATACTGACTCTGTAAACTGCTTAGAGAGGGCTGTAAAGCACTGTGAAGTAGCATATAAGTCTAAGTGCTATTGTTGTTGCTACATAAATTTACCAAAAAATAATACAACAGGACACTTACCAGTTCCCCCAACCTTGGAATCCTACAGCTTGAAGGACATGCACAGCAAATTGACAAATGTATACAAAGAAAAAAACAAAGAACCTGAAGGAGCTATCGCTCCTGAAAGAGAAGGAAAGAAAAAAAATGAGATATTCTCATAATACTTGACAAACAAAATAGCGAGTCTGTCATAAGGTTAACAGAACAAGTGAGTGAAAACACTTCAAACATCTCTTTTATATATAAATTCTGTTTTATGACTGTATAAATCTGTTGGAAATCGGAACTTTCAGAAGCATTCTTACCAAACTGACCAATTACAATAAACACTACCAGAAAGTTAAACGCAAACAAAGCAACTACAAAATAAGCTTAGCAGTATTACAAAAGAAGTACAGGAAACTATGTTTCACACTATATTGTCATTTTATTCATTAAGATGTTCACTAGCAATTTTTCCATCTCTCATTTTTTTTACTGAATCAAAGACAAATCTTGTAATTTAAGTCAGCAATTCATTTTCTTGCCCAGCTAACATTCCAAGGAAAGTAGAATATTACTTCATTTCAGAGTAATGCACGAAAAGAACATTTTAGAGAAAATATAATTCAGTGGTACACCAGTTTAAGATTCTCAGTAGTCCTGCACAGGTCCTTTTATGTCTTGAAGAGCTTCTCCCTATCTGCTCTACTATATTATTATACTGCAGTCCAGAATTACTTCAAAAGATAAGTTGTTCTCTTCAACAATGATCTGTGAGGAAGCATGATAGACCAACTACTGTCCAACTGACACCTTCTGGTAACTGCATGGTATTAACTTCATGCATTATTTCAAGTCTACCATTGTTGTAAGGCATTTGGGATCGCTTCAAAGTACACTGCTGATTAAGCAAATACAGACACTCCTCAAATTGGAATGAATCAAATGGATTCACTTAACAACCATTACAAAAAGAGTCATAAAATTAGGCTGGTCATGTGATGATCTGCTTTACGCATGTCATAATGTATGACCACAATGGATA